GGTTTCACCAAAGTGGTAAACGTCTAAGACCTGCATCACCTGACACGCTGTGATATGACTGGAATACAGTTAAAAGCTGCCTTAAACCAAACTCACTCACTCATTCACTTTTGTCATCAGCAAAGGGGGCCCTTTTGTAAAATTAGAATTAATTCAGTTTTGTTTGTTATACAATGTTGCATATTTGACGATGAGACTTTTAGACTATTATTCACGGCTGTACCATTGGAGATAGATTGACTTAAGATGTGTCATGGAAGGACCGATACCAACAAACACATCATCAGAAGATTTCAGTGTTTGTCGGACACAAGAGAATTATACTGCCATCACACTCTTCATAGGTTTTCCGTGCATATTTCAGTCAATCCCAAAATAGTAGGAAATTATGCACCTCATCATTATAGATTAATGTCAGTGCTGTACCCTGCTTATTGGGTTAATAGCATCCCTGGAATTCATTTGAAGGAGATAGTGATTGGTGCAGCAATGAATCTGGCACCACGTGAGGGAGAGCTCATACCTTGGGGGGGGGGAGGGGTTGGGGGAGTAGGAGTAAGTCTCAGCTGTCAGTGCTCCTGTCCTGTCCTTGTTTGAAAAGTGTAGCTGTCCTGTTCCTTGTTCTCCCAGACCCTAGTGAATAAATTATGAAAGGAGACCAACTCAAGTCTAGAATGAAATTAAGCATTTTTCTGGCATTATTTGAATTTTTTTAGATATATATTTTTAAATAATTTATTTATGGGACTATATGTTAGTCTACTGTCAGGTTATAGTAGCAGCATATGCATTAGCATAATTCTGTTTCAATGAGTTTGATATTCACATGGCTAGGTTGTGGGTCCATGTCAGTTGAATTAACATTCAGGGGCTTGGTGCTGTGGTGCAGCCACTGTCCACTGACAACTTTACCTCTGTTCAAGTACTTTCCAAGCTTCCATTATGTCTCTTGACCAAAGAAGATCTGGGTTAGAGTTGGTCTTCAGAACCCCATGCTTGTCATAAGAGGTGACTAACAGGATCGGGTGGCCAGGTTCCCTGACATGGTTGATGTATGTCATCGTATCCCAATTGGTTCAATGCTCATGATGTCAATCATGACTGCCGTAATATAGATGAAATATGGCTGAGTGTGACGTTAAACAACAAACAAACAAATCCATGATGACTACCTATTTCTGGTATCCCCTGCTGTGATGGTGCTGGAATGTTGCTGGAATGTTGCTGAAAGCAGCATAAAACAACTCACTCATGTTTCATGAATAAGAACATGTGAATCACTTTGCTTGACTACATTGGGAATAGTGTACAGATTGACGACATGGCACTTCTAACTGTGAGCAGGCCAGTGAATAATAATTATAATAATAATTATAATCTATTTATATGGAGCTGTACTCTATGCATAAACATGCTCTAAGCGCTTACATATTTATTACCCCAGTCAATGGATCAGTCAATGGATCAGTGTGCACACAACAATCATTCTCAGCTCCCTGGGGAGTATACAACCCAAGCTGCCTGTAAGGCACTAGAAAGTTAACAACCACGTCTTATACTACTGGGCACCCATTCACTGCTGGGTGAACAGAGGAACATTTCGAAAAAAGACACTTGGCCAAGGAGACACTGCCACATGTGTTACTGTACATGGGTTTCAGTTTGGAGCAGGACTGAAGCCCTAGAAACTCTCAGGAGATTAGATATCGATCACGGTCCCCTATCGAATGACTTTCAGCGACCCATGTTGCCTAACATACATCATGTGAATTGTTAATTTTTAACCCTCCGAATAATATCTCCTCACTATATTTCCTTCCACACAAGGACGTGTCTGGTATGCAACAAAGCTATCTAAACATTAATCACTGTAATGTTATATCAAGGATTGGTCACACCCCTCACACCAACACCCCCACAATAATATAATACCCGCCGATCATGGCCCCTGCTGAGAAATCTCCGAGACAGCACTTTTTATTTCGTCTGATTCATCCACTGCACAACACATGCTTTCTCCTCTGTGTTGATTTTCCCTGCTGTGCCATAGACCAAGCAGTATGTACCAGTACACACACACTACAACCTTGAACTTTCACCCAGATTACCTTGGTTAATTGTACAGCACACTCTATGGCAGTCCTCCCTTTCACAACCCCGCTGGGATTCAATGAAGGGGACATGCTAGACTTGCACAAGTCTATTAGGCAATAATTATTAGTTTAAATCATAATTTCTTGATTATCTGAATAATAAGAACAAGTTGTCCCTATAAAAAAATAATCGCTTTTCTAGACTTTCCTATTCTAATGATAGAAGTACTGTACATCCATGGACTTATCATTCGGTGTGGACGTGGAGCAAGGCTAGGGACATGCATGTGTACATACATACCACACTGCAGCTAGAGCGTCCTCATTGTCCTCATCCTAGGACACACAGAGCTGACCCCAGATCATAAAGACTCTGGCTGCACATTTGTTAGGTTATTCTGAGAATTAAGGTTTTGTTCTTTGTAAGAAGATTGCAGTGGCAAGTGACTTCATAGACCAATACATAGACTTCACCACTGTGTTTGAAGACTGCACCACTGTGTTCAAAGCAACCGCCTCCGTGGTCTAGTGGTAGAGTGTCCGCCCGGAGAGCAGAAGGTCCTCGGTTCGATCCCCGGCCGCGTCATACCTAAAGACGTTAAAAGATGGTACTTGTTGTTACCCTGTCTGGCGCTTGGCATTAAGGGGCTAAAACAAGGACTGGTCGGCTCTGAGTCAGTAAACTGTGTCTGAGTGGGGTTTTAATGTTAAACTGCGGCATGGTATCTCAGTGTGCTAGCACTATAAATCGGCATCAGTCTGGACTAGTACAAGCAGCCACACACACACGTGCATGTACGTCGCTATATAAGTGCCATAATCTAGGACGCGACGTTAAACCCCATTTCACCTCACCTCACCTGTGTTCAAAGCACTCATTGTCCGAGTTTTATTTGAGTTTATTGTACACAACAACAACATTTTAAGTTTCCTATCAGACATGTCACTTTCTCCTTCCATCTTTTTGACGGGGAACATGTGTTTTTTAATGTCTATTTTCAATGCACCTACTGAGGTCAAGGTCATTGTTCACCTGCCATTACAATGTGCATCATCCAGTTCCCATCATGTCTGTCTCAGCATTATCTTATTCTTTCTGTAGCAATTGAAAAATGTAGCATAAAAGGTTTGTTTTCTAAGAAGCCAACCTCGCCACTGCCCATAGACACAGCAATCTCCTCTCCTGCATCTATTACACATCCTGCAGCAGCCATCTTATCCCCCCTAAATTGAGCATGACTGTAAAAGATAAATGGACTTAGCAGATGCTCAAGTCATGACTGTATCAACACCGAAGCAGATAGAGAGTGGCAATACTCCTGTGTAAATCTCTAAATATTGCTGGATCATTTGTCAGAGCAACCTAAGTACAGGTCTACTTGACCTAATCTTGGTGCAAGTGTCAACAGTGTCTTTAATACCTATTAAGTCATGTTTAATTTTGATGATATATTAGACATGTATGAGAGCATTAACATGTTGGGTAGTTTATTGTAATTACCGTATTCAACGTAATAAGCGCCTAGGGTGCTCTCTAAATTAGAAATAGGGGACTCTTTAACATGTTGGGTAGTTTATTGTAATTATGTATTCTGATAAATGATATTAGTGCAATCTTTTGCCAGCCAAGTGTTGTTATGATAATGTCTTGAAGATCTTATTTACATTTGTTTGTCACACTCTTTCCAAGATGTGTCACACATAATGAATAAACACTTGGAAGACCTTACCAGCTGTTCCTCGTTTAAATACTTCAAAATATTGTTTCATAAGCAAAACAATAGTGTACCTTTCATTAATGTGTTGATAATGATACTAATTTTATTTCTAGTTGTATATACAGTAAATATAAATAAGAGCCTTGTGAGAAATGTGCTAGCTATTATTTGGATTGTGATTGTGTCGGATTAACGAGTATGTCAGATTAACGAAATTAGGTGATTTGTGATCGAAAATTGGACGTCTTCACGATAGATAATAACCATGTGTACCCTGTAGTAAAATCATTAAAAACGAAATATTTATATTGTTATCATGGTTATGTTGTTTATTCATTCATTCCTTAATTTATAAATAATGACATTGCAAAAATAAAAAAATTCCCAATTTTTCGTCACAACACGGGGCTGTGTACTCGCGGGCAGATGACCACGGAGTACGCTAACCACTCTGTCGGATTAACGGGACTGATAAATGAGGGATTTCGGTAATTCGTTGCAAATTAGGTGTGTCGGAGTGCGAGAATGTCGTATTAACGGGTCTAAATAGCACTGAATTAATTGGTTCCCATCATTTGTGTCAGATAAAGCCGATTGTCGGATTAACAAGTGTCGGATTAACGCGACTTGACTGTATTAGGTTAAAAAAAATAAATTCTGTGAATGGATGAGAGTGGAATGGTGGTGATTGTTTTAAGAAGACACTAGCAGGTCAGATGGAATGCAAAATTCATTTTGTGATACGAAACCAAGGTGTTTATTAGAAGTAAATGTGACAATGGGGAGATTCCCTACAAGTCAAAATTTTCAGCATATCAGAACCACCTTCAACCTTTGAAGATATGAATATTTTTTTGTAACAGTGTCTATTGTAGATTCTACGTGACATTTACCTTGACCTCTGCTCTGTTATGACAGTTATCTCCCCTTAATAATCAGGTTTAATGTCAACTGAAATGTCAGCCATATTGCCTGACTGTGTTTATTGATGATTACTCACGTGTTGGGGAAATATTGCTGCTGACATTTCTAGGGTGATGTTGATGCCTTCAAAGTGTCTGCTCAACTCAATCTGTATTGAGTGAAGAAAACAATTGTTCTTGCATATAGTGAGCTTGAATGAAAGAAATGAAATACTTTTATCCTTCATGCTGTCATGATTGATTAATATTTGTCTCTCTGTTTTCAGGAAATTTGTGATGACCCCCAGTGGATCTCAGAGGGAGCCAGCAGGTTTGATGTGCAGCAGGGTGAACTCGGTAAGTGTGTAAGTGTGTGTGTGTGTGTGTGTGTGTGGGGGGGGGGGGGGGGATGTAGGAGAGTGAGTGAATCAGGTTGAAGTGAACTAGGAAACACCAGTGAACACACCAGTGTTTGATAGCATGAGCAATGAGTTGTGCTATATTGTCACATTGTGACCATCCGATCCTCAGTCTAGTCAGCTCTTAGGACAAGCACAGTGTGCGAGGAGCCTTTAGTGGTCCGGATTCTCCACAGTGAGTGAGCGAGTTGGGTTTAACGCCGCTTTTAACATTATTCCAGTTATATTACGGCGTGTCAGCTTAATGTGGGAGGAAAGCCCGAAGTGATGCAGGTCTCAGACGTTTACCACTTCGGTGAAACCCACGAACACGGGTATGGTGCTGACAAACCTAGAAACAATCAGGGTTAACCGCGATTCGAACCCACCGTCATAAGTTTCTGGCGTGCCCAAGGGACGCAACTCTGCACAGCAAATCGCAGTGCCCTAGATGACTGGGCCACCCATGCCCCCCGGATTCTCCACAGGGAAATTAGACTGACTATATAGGGGAAGATTATGGACGCCTGTTATCAGCTGGTATGTAGGAAGAGACAGGGTGTTATAGGGTGGAGTGAATGATGAGGCAATTAAATAGGAGTAAGAGTAAAATGTGTATGGGGCATACGAGGACTATATGTCATAGGATGGTTTATGATTACATAGAGTAGTATGATTGTATTTCGGGTATATCAGTATATTCAAGTCAAGAGTATGACGGGTATGGGGCATACGAGGACAATATTTCATACGGTGGTTCACAATATATATCCAGGTGTGCAACAGTGCAATATCACAATACATATGCAGGTGTGCAACAGTGCAATATCACAATACATATGCAGGTGTGCAACAGTGCAATATCACAATACATATGCAGGTGTGCAACAGTGTAATATCCCAATATATATCCAGGTGTGACAGTGCAATATCACAATACATATGCAGGTGTGACAGTGCAATATCACAATACATATGCAGGTGTAAAACAGTGCAATATCACAATACATATCCAGGTGTGACAGTGTAATATCACAATACATATCCAGGTGTGCAACAGTGCAATATCACAATACATATCCAGGTGTGCAACAGAGCAATATCACAATACATATCCAGGTGTGCAACAGCGCAATATCACAATACATATCCAGGTGTGCAACAGTGCAATATCACAATACATATCCAGGTGTGCAACAGCGCAATATCACAATACATATCCAGGTGTGCAACAGTGCAATATCACAATATATATCTAGGTGTGCAACAGTGCAATATCACAATATATATCTAGGTGTGCAACAGTGTAATATCACAATATATATCTAGGTGTGCAACAGCGCAATATCACAATACATATGCAGGTGTGCAACAGTGCAATGGCACAACATTTTAATTATGAAATGTTTGAGGAAATAAAACTGACTATTTTTGCTTTTTTTAATATCAAAAATATATTCCAATACCTTTTGCAGGAGATTGCTGGCTGTTGGCTGCAGTTGCCTCCCTTACATGTAACAACAAGCTGTTGGCAAGAGTTGTTCCCCCTGAACAGAACTTCACAGATGAATACTGTGGGTTGTTCAAGTTCAACATCTGGCACCAGGGAGACTGGGTGGAGGTCATTGTTGATGACAGGCTTCCTACATACCACAACCAGCTAGTATTCATGCACTCTGTGGAGAGGAATGAATTCTGGAGCGCATTGCTGGAAAAGGCTTATGCCAAGTAAGTTCTCTGGATTTTAAATGATTGAAGTACATTTGTTTGTGAATAAAATATTATGACACATGGCAAATATATATACAGTGACCAGTAGTATTGACTTTTGGGTTAAAGACCCCAGCCTTCTTCTAGGAGGGTCTTACTCTCTCCTTCCTCCATCCCCACCCCCAGATTGTAAGAGCAGGATTTCACTCTGGATCTTATTTTGTCAAGTGTACTGTTGTGTTTTAGTGTTTCTTTCTTCATATTCTTTCTGTTCATCTTCAAACATGAAATGCTAGATTTGTCAGCACCATACCCGTGCTCGTGGGTTTCACATAAGTGGTAAACATCTGAGACCTGCATCACTTAGGGCTTTCCCCCCACATTAAGCTGACACGCCGTGATATAACTGGAATACTGTTAAAAGCGGTGTGAAACACAACTCACTCACTTACACACAATGGCACTGCTATTTGTTATGCAGAGTTGTGTCCCTTTGCTGTACCAGAAAGCTATGATCCTGGGTTCATATCCCTGAAGTGTTTCTTAGTTTGTCAGCACCATACCAATGCTTGTGGGTTTCACCGAAGTGGTAAACGTCTTAACCTGCATCAATAACTTCGGGCTTTCTCCCACATTGAGCCGACATGTCATGAAAAACTGAAATACTGTTGGAGTGGCGATAACCCAGCTCACTCACTCACGCTTACCCTGGGTGCAATGTTATTGTGATGAGACTCAGAGTTATGTGTATTTTCCAGACTGTGTGGATCCTATGAATCCCTTAAGGGCGGCAGCACCAGTGAAGCTATGGAGGACTTTACAGGAGGTGTGACAGAGATGTTCGATCTCCCTAAAGCCCCCCCAAATCTGCTCCGGATCATGTTGAAGGCATTTGACAGATCAGCTCTCATGGGATGCTCCATAGATGTGAGGATCCTATTTCCAGGACGTCCTCTCGCAGGGCATCATGTGTCCCAAATAGTTATTTTGTAACCAAATAATTAACCGGTTGTTTTGCATCTTTTATTGGTCAACACCAAGAGGCAGGAGGAAGATGAAAAATATGGGATGCTGGCAGAGAAATTTGAGGATAATTTTTCTAAAAATAGCTCTTGAAATATATTTTTGTGTGAAAATCAGACAGCATATCTATTTTTGTTTTTAAATGATAATTGTTAATTAGGCTTGTAGTTGCCCACCCTTTAAACATAGGAATACATTGGTCTGTCGTTAATAGACTGTAATAAACAATTCAATTTTGGGTTTTAATGTTCACTCATTCAGCATCATGCGTAACTTGATGGAAAGAATATTCTTTTGATAGATGCAGATAGTTGAAATTATTCTTTTTTTTGCAGTTCTCATTAAATTATTTGTTTATAGACATTGTAAACACATTTGTGCATTTTGGTAAGCTACTTTGACAGACAACTGGATGTTATTCTTTATTTCCAGCCTGATGGTCAAGCCTTGGAGGCGGAGCTGACCAATGGTCTGGTGGTAGGCCACGCCTACAGTGTCACTGCAGTGAAACTGGTGGGTAGATACTGATGCGTGTACAACTAGTTCTAGGTGATCATAGTGATATAGCATGGAAATGAAATTATGCCAAAATGATTTTGTAGTTTCTCTGTAGCATGCCTGTGTAGGAGGTGGAGGGATGCCTCATACAGAGCCAGTCTCATTAAAATCAGACCTTAGTTCTCGCTACCGCGAAACAAAGATCTGAGGACATCCCATTACGGGTCACGTCAGACTGACCTTGCGCGAACTTTGACCGACAAATAGAATGACCAATCAGAAGGCAGCTTTCTCGTGCTTTACAGCACTAATTTCAAATTGGCGACTACGCTTCAAACATATTTTCACAAATTCTCGATTACAAATTTAAAACCTAAACAAAAGAAAATTCTGGAATGGCTAATGGATGGCCTAGATTGTATGGATTCAGTCGTTAAACCTGTAACTATCGTTCAGAATACCCCGTGTTAAAGTTTTCGAGGTTTTATGATTAGAAATCACATTCCGACTGTCACTTTCATGATCTGGTAAGCGACGCTCTCATTGGTCGGATGAAAGGTCGTTCTGATGTGACCCCTAATGGGATGTCTTCAGATCTTTGTTTAGCGGTAGCGAGAACTAAGGTCTGATTTTAATGAGATTGCATACAGAGCTAGGGGGATGGACTTTGTCTCTGAAGCATGCCTGTCTAGGAGGTCGAGGGATGCCTCATATGGATCATGTAGACACTAGTGTTCCATTTTCTTATTCTTTGCATATCTTAGGGTTTGTTAATGGTCAACTCCTAATAGAAGCTATCGTAGCATGGCTGTAGATGGGATCATCAGAGGCGGATCCAGAACTGTTTAAAAAGAGCTTTCACACTTCCCAAATCACAAGTGAACAAATATTCATAGGTAGACAGATATGGGTTGACCGATACAGCTTCTGACTAAACGGGGTGTGCACCATCTGTATCCTCCTCTGGACCTGCCAGCGATGATCATACACTTTCTCCCGTAGGAATATCGTAGAACCAAGCATGTTTAGCAGAAGAATGTTGTTGAGAAATCATAAATGAATATGTTTTGTGTTTCAGCATTAAGTGTTTGCCTTTATTGATTGTGGAAATAGTGAAAAAATAAGTCAAGACCAGCTATTTTGTCTTTGAATGATGTAATGAACCACACCTAGCTTACATCTTTCAATGAGGGGCGGTCGGGTAGCCTAGTGGTTAAAGCGTTCGCTCGTCACGCCGAAGACCCGGGTCCGATGCCCGACATGGGTACAACGTGTGAAGCCCATTTCTGGTGTCCACCGACGTGATATTGCTGGAATATTGCTAAAAGCGGCGTAAAACCATACTTTACATGTAGCCATCGTTTTATGAATATATGTCACTTGATAAACTTCACAGTTCCCTTCGATTGATTATCCAAAATCTCCATTGGGATACTTATTCAGTATTGGTCCTTAGAAACAAATGCTTTCTCCAAGACTTGAATGGGTATTGGTGGTCACATTGTGTGACCTGACTGACTGTGTGTGTTCATACGGCATAGGATCGCTGCTTCTGCCATCAGCCCCTCATGGCCAGAGCTATCCCAGGGGAGGAGCTGTTCATGAATGTTACAATCACTAATACTTGATCATGAATTATGCGATGTAGCTGTCTGAGACTGTAACCATGGTAACTAATCCTACAAATGAAACCGACCCATGAAGATCCGGGGTAGAATAGGTCTTCAGCAAACCATGCTTGCCGTAAAAGGTGACTATGCTTGTCGTAAGAGGCGACTAACGGGATTGGGTGGTCAGGCTTGCTGACTTGGTTGATGCATGTCATCAATCCCAATTGCGTGCATCGATGCTCATGATGTCAATCACTGGATTGTCTGGTCCAGACTCGATTATTTACAGACCGCCGTCATATAGCTGGAATATTGCCAAGTGCGGCGTTAAACAACAAACAAACAAACACATGAAACCAGGAGCAGTTGGGTAGCCTAGTGGCTCCGGTGTTCACTCATGGCCATGAAGTCCCAGGTTTTACTCCCCACTTGGGTAAAGTGTGTGATTTCTGGTGTCATCCGATGGAATATTGCTGGAATTGCTAGAAGTGGCATAAAACCATATTCGCTCACTTAAAAGCGGAATTGGATCAGCCCCAGACCTGCCTGATTGAGACTTGATTATGTACTGAGTTCAGCAACATTGCTGTATTATTGCTGACCTCAGTGTTATATACAGTCTAACAGTAACAGGAGCTGATTTGTGTGTAGATGTCATGGAAGGTTTCATGTTTGTTCTAAGCCCTTGTTTGTCATTAAAATGTTTCTTTTACTTCTACATCTAAGTTATTTTGTTTTGCATTAATCATTCTGCGTACACAGGTTGATGATAAGATGCGTGTAAGTGGATGCACAGACTGTTGGATATAGCAGTGTTGTTTTGAGAATAGTCCACGTGTAGAGATTGGCACATATTGTCCTGGCACAGGAGTCCTGTGTCATCACTGTGTTCAAGCATGTTCAAATCAGGCGCTTTAGTAGCTCTCTGTTCTGTTATGGGTCTTGTCAAAAGATTGATGAAGCTATATCTGGGGTGATTTAGTTTGTGAGATTGCTTATGAAAGATTGTTTAGTTACTTTATTACTTGATAAGTCCCCAGGGTCCCCTTTCCACAAAGCGATTTTAGCGCTACAGTTGTCAGAAGTCTTTGTTAAAGTTTGGGAGCAATGATCCACTTAGTGCTAAAATCGCTTTGTGGAATAGGGCGCAGCACTCTATCTTGTCTACTGCTTGTTGTAAGATAGGGGCTTTGGGGTAGCCTAGTGGTTAAAGCGTTCCCTCATCACGCTGAAGGCCTGGGTTCAATTCCCCACATGGGTACAATGTGTGAAGCCCATTTCTGGTGTCCCCTGCTGTGATATTGCTGGAATATTGCTAAAAGCAGAGTAAAATCCAACACTGTTGTAAGAGGTGACTAATTTGGCTCGGGCGGTCATACTCTGTGACTTGGCTGATTGTAGGTCATCGTGACCTGTGGCTAATTGCAGGTCATCGTGACACTATGGCTGATTGCAGGTCATCGTGCCCCTGTGGTTGATTGCAGGTCATTGTGACCCTGTGGTTGATTGCAGGTCATCGTGACCCTATGGCTGATTGCAGGTCATCGTGACGCTATGGCTGATTGGAGGTCATCGTGACGCTATGGCTGATTGGAGGTCATCATGACCCTGTGGCTGATTGCAGGTCATCGTGACCCTGTGGCTGATTGCAGGTCATCGTGACCCTATGGCTGATTGAAGGTCATTGTGACCCTATGAGATGGATTGTTGATCATGCTTTCAGTCACTGGTTTGTCTGGTCCAGACTCGATTGACAGGTCACCAGGATATTACTGGAACATTGCTGATCAACATGTAATCATTGCACCTCTAGCATTGATTACAGATCACTGGAATATGCTTCAGGAAGCATGTCGTTGAATACTCATTCTGTTTGTTAAATGGTTGGGGTTTAACATCTTAAAAAAAAAGATCATGTAAAAACACTACTGGGGGTTATTTTATGGGTTGTAAATGTTTTTTTAATGTTCAAATTTAGTTGCAAGGGGTGGGGTGGGATGTAGGGATCTGTACGTGGTCACAGTAACTACTAAGATTTGCAGCTTCATTTAACTTTTGACAGGCCTCAATAATTACTATGATCACTGCATCACTAAGGGTTTTACCTATGTATTCTGTGTTCTTGTTTGTTGCTGGAAATAATGTTGTTTGATCTGCAGGCTCTTTCCAAAACATGGAGGAAACCTTTAAGCATATTTTTTAAGCATAACATTTCGATGGTAATGTGCTGATTTAGCAAAACAGAAACATGTTGTTTTAAAAGTTTGTGTGTCTGTTTTATGTATAGGTAAAACCCTAATGGCAAAACTTTGTAGGAAGATATATTTTCTGTTCATACTGACTCATCGGAAACATACTTTATTAGTTTTGTTTATGTTTCAAAGTTTGAGATTTTTATTTTACGTTTTTCAAACAGATGGATATAGTGCTCCCACGAAGGGTGTGTTAGAGTTTGAGGAACATGCTTTGCTACTGTTTCTTGTTTGTGCATGTTGAAAGCAGCTTGAGGCTTGTTGACTCTGTGGCAAGATCTTAAGATGCTGTGTTGCATCCAACTTGAACATATAAATACATATCTTTCTTTTCTTCTTGTAACAATCTCATTAAAATCAGATCTTAGTGTTCACTACCGCTACCCAAAGATTTGTGGACATCCAATTAGAGATCACGTCAGAACATCCTTTCGCGAACTTTGAAATGACTGACAGGAAGTCGACATTAGCCATTCAGGAACTAGCTTTTCTCGAGGTTTAATGCTCTAGTTTCAAACTGACAACAATTGCAGACAGCACTTTGAAAAATATTTTTTTCAAAGTTTGAAAACTGGACAAAAGAAATTTTGGAATGACTAATAAATAGCTAAGGTTGTATGGCAATACTTTGAATGGGCTGTGAAAAGCCACATTTTAAATGTTAATCCCATTGACTTGAGACTGATGATTTTTTTCAACAGAATCGGTCGTACAGCCTGTCACTGTTGTATTTGGAATGCCTCATGTTAATCTTTTCGAGGTTGAATGATTAGAAAACACATTTGGACTTTCGCTTTCACAATCTTGTAAGCAGCCATTTGATTGGTTGGATGAAAGGTCCTTGTAACGCGATCTGCAGTGGGATGCCTTCAGATCCATGGGCACAAAGATCTAATTTTAATAAGATTGCACGTTATAAGGAAATATGAGAGTTTGGCAGGTGTGGAAATTGATATTTCTCAGTAAAGCAATACCAATACGGGTATTTTATTTTTCATTGAGAAAAAATGTTGGTAGAAATTTTCTTGTTTCTTTTTGTATTGAATTTTCACAATAGTTTTGTTTCACACATACATTTAGTATTGTACCAATAACGTTATTCCAATGAGAAGTAAGGGCTTCACTGATTCATAGAGAGTTGTTAAATGCAGTATTATCAGTCTGATGTATATTGGGTGTTGTGGTTAAACGTTCATCAGTTACAGAGTTAATGCATTAAAAAGTCAACATTTTAAGACTGAGTTTAGTTCTCATTTGGACTATGAAAACTATGTCACTTACGGTTCTTTTATTTGATTATTTTGAGAAAGAAGTTAAGTTAATTTGAAATAAGTTTTGTACAGGTTTTAAATAAGTGGATAATGTTTGCATAATACCGTATTCGACGTAATAAGCGCCCCGCTCTAATAAGCGCCCACGGCGATATTTGCTAATATATTGGCAAGTGAACAATCCTATTAGCACCCCTTCCGATTGATCAATGGACACAAGACTTATTTATTCGCGTATAATACGCACTCGATCATGTGTTATATGTACCCTTAATTATGGGCAATTAAATTCTGGAAAAATATATATGTCGTATATAAACATTTCAGGCTGTCAGCCTAAACCACAAAATTAACGATCTTTCAACTCTGTTGTTTTTTCCACCAAAATAATATTCTAATAAGAGCCCCCCTATTTCTAATTTTGCGAGCGCCCTGGGCGCTTATTACGTCGAATACGGTAAATCTGCTGTATAGATATGTGCTTAGGTCTTGATTCTACTGTTGTCTTTATTTTCTTCTGAGATGACTAAATGCTCTTCATGACTGTATAAAGTTCTTCACCTACAGACTCTCTTAGCATTTCACATATCCTATTTACTCTGTATGCTGAGGTCTTCCTTCAACTAAGAAAGTTAAAATTGGAGGAAATTTGATTTCTTGACAAGTATTTCATTACTTACTTTCTATTCTTAAAAATGTTGGGGCGGTCGGTAGCCTAGTGGTTAATGCATCCACTCGGCACGCCGAAAACCCAGGTTCGATCCCCCACATGGGTACAATGTGTGAAGCCCATTTCTGGTGTCCCCCGCCATGATATTGCTGGAATATTGCTAAAAGCGGCATAAAACCATACTCACTCTAAAAAAATTAACTTTATCTTTTACTATCTTTCTCCGAAAGTATGCTCTGTTTCATGGCATGACTTTTATTTAATTCTGAAATGGTATTTCAGTTGTGCAAATTACAGGTATATCTGTCAGAACCAGGCTTGATGTTCCGTCCAAATTTTCTTTGTTAATTCATCATGAAGTACATTGTAATCTATTCCAGACCTCTGCCTAAACCGGATTAAACTTTCATTCAAAAACAAGTCTGGTTCAGACAGATTCCACTGTGGGCATATTATCAGTAATTTATATAAATATTTTCAATATTCATTTATTTGTTTATTCTTCATCTATGTTGTAAATAAACAAAACTTGGAGCTGCATGTTTCAACAAAGCTGTAAATTCTGACTAAACTTGCACCATAGCATGGACCTTGAATAATGCCTTGATACTTGGTGGAAGAGTATGACTGATGACTGTGTGTTGATGTTGCAGATCGATGTTCAGACGTCCCGGGTGTCGGGGCAGATCCCCATGGTGAGGATCAGAAACCCCTGGGGTAATGAGGCCGAGTGGAATGGGGCGTGGAGTGACCAGTGAGTACTAGGGAGGGAGCTGGCTGCACCCCACCCCATTGTATTCTTAGCCCTAAGATTGTCTGGATTGTTGACTTGTTTGTGTTGGCGGCAGTGATATGGTTGTGTTTGTGTTGACAGGTCCCAAGAATGGTCCCTCATTTCACCCGAGGAGAAGGAGGAGATGGGTCTGACCTTCGATGATGATGGAGAGTTCTGGTGAGTTCACAAGCCAACATCTCATGGAGAAAACCACCACCACCACACCACCCACGAACCCTGACTTCAGGATATCAGGATAATAACCTCCCCATGCACATCAGGATAACACCCACGAACCCTGTCTTCAGGATATCAGGATCTCCCCCCCCCACGCACATTCGAACTCACACATCAGATAACACACATACATCAGGATAACACAAACACACATCAGGATAACATCCGCACCCCACATGGTCGGTACCTTAGCTCACTGATTCTCTGACTGATCTTCAGGATGGCCTTCTCAGACTTCAAGGAAAACTTCACCAAGCTGGAGATCTGTAACCTTGGGCCGGACTCCTTGGATGAGGCTGACCTGGGCAACAAGAAGAAGTGGGAGGTCAATATTCAGCATGCTGACTGGAAGAGAAGGGTCAACGCTGGTGGCTGCCGCAACTACCTTGGTGAGTCAGCGTCAACTTAGGCGACTTAATAGATTGAGGCAGGCTTGCGTACTTGGTTGATTCCCTGTCATCATATCCCAACAGCGGGGATAGTTGCTCATATGAATCAATGGACTGTCTGGTCCAGACTTAATTATTTACGAGATGCTGTCATATAGCTGGATAGATTTTACTGACATTTGATGCACTTTTGGGGCTGAATATCGGCTTCTGAGCAGGTCTAGATAAATCCCTATTGTAATTCACTAAGTGTGACCATCTTATCATGAACTTAGACACAAGGAAATGTTTGATATGTTTTGTGATGATTGTGTGACAAGTTTTATATCGATTGTGTGACATGAATTTTGCTGATTGTGTGACATGTTTTTTTGCTGATTGTGTGACAAGTTTTGTATCGATTGTGTGACATGTTTTGTGATCATTGTGTGACATGTTTTGTCATCATTGTGTGACATGTTTTGTGATCATTGTGTGACATGTTTTGTGATCATTGTGTGACAAGTTTTGTGATCATTGTGTGTCTTTCTCCTAGATTCCTTCTGGACAAATCCCCAGTTCCGAGTGACCTTGACCGACCCTGATGATGACGACGATGATGAGATGTGCACCATGATCACAGCACTGCTGCAGAAGGACCGCAGGAAGAAGAGGAAGGAAGGCCTTGACCTTCTCACTATTGGTTATGTTATCTACAAGGTAAGACCAGGATTTCATTCTGTATCTGTACACAGAAATCAGTCCTCGCTGATTTTATCAACTGTGCTGTTCCTTTTTTCATGTTTTTACTGACAATCTTGAAATATATATAGGGGGCAACAGTGGCACAGTCATCTAAGACACGGTAAATCACTTTGCACAGGTGCATAAGCAATTCACGACCTGTTGTAAAATGGAAATTGATGGCCATTTTGTTTGATAGTATGCCTCGTATCTTTGACGATTTGCTTTTTAGTCTATGATTCTTGACTTGACCGATTTACATCAGTGATAGGTTGACAGTATGTTATTTAAACACTCCTGATTTGGGACAGTTCTGGTTGTGCAGTGATTACAAAATCATGCCAGTATCAATGCTTAACATAAGGGTTTGAGACTTTTCACAAAATATCTTGTATGTTTTAGACCAAAGAGGCAAAAAAGATTCTACTAGGATTGTAGAATTATATCAAAAATTTCAAGCTGAAGTAGTTTCCATTATTAAAAAAACCACAGTATGTGTTTTTTGGCTTTGAAACTTCATGTGATGCCACCATTTCTGGCGTCCCCTGCCGTGATATTGCTTGAATATTGCTAAAAGCGGCGTGATTCCACATGTGGATACTGAGTGGAATATGAAGCTTAACCCAGAAATCGGTTCACGCAGAACAAATTTGTGAAATCAGTAAATAACCTCACAAGATTAGTGAATGACTAACACGTTATACTAAAACACAGTTTTAGGGTTACAATCACAAAAGGCGTTACAGTGGCCCCAGTCGGTGGCAGCAGCTCTAAACAACAGGCTTGTAACAAATCTCAGTGCACTCAAAAGTGTCCAGAATTTGTCAAAGTTGAATATCTTGAAAGAGGCATGTGCTCCGTTCTTGATTATGTAGCAGGGCGTGGAGTCATCCCACAGATGACATCCTTAACTTGACAGCTTGCTGACAGGGTTAACCTCTTTGGTCATGTGGACAAGGAGTCCGACCTCGGATCAGAAGGTCCATGGTTCAAATCTTATCACGGGACTTGGAAATTTTATGGCCGCGACATTGGCGCCCGACGTGGGGCTGAGCACGTTCATATTAAATTTGAGCAAAATAAGCCTCAGTACCCTACTATGCGGCCCGGGATGTGCCTTCTGTTGACGGAGGAGTATGTAGCAGGGTGTGGAGTCATCCCACAGATGACATCTTTAACTTGTCAGCTTGCTGACGGGGTTAACCTCTTTGGTCATGTGGACAAGGCGTCTGACCTCGGATCAGAAGGTCCGTGGTTCGAATCCCATCACAGGACTTGGAAATTTTATGGCCGCTACAATTACTGAACAGGTTTGGAGGCTGGCTGGAAGTGTGTTTTCAGATGTGTATGCTGTCCGCACTTTGCAAGTAGATAAGAGTGAGTGAGTGAGTATGGTTTTACGCCACTTTTAGCAATATTCCAGCAATATCATGGCGGGGGACACCAGAAATGGGCTTCACACATTGTACCCATGTCAGGAATTGAACCCGGGTCTTCAGCATGACAAGCGAACGCTTTAACCACTAGGCTACCCGACCACCCCGCAAGTAGATTAGATGCAAGTCAGAGTGGTAAATGGCCTTGAATCACCCTCAAATCACTCTATGTAGGTACAGCCAGCCTTGAAGAACCCTTCACATTAAGAAACGTCACGAATGATGTCCTGTTATCGTTGTTAACAACAGCTAACTCAGAAGACGCTTAAGTTACTAGATGCCAAAGGGTACACAGACATGCTGGTCGATATTGTACGAGTGATTCATTCAACTTGCTGCCACTAACAATCATCAGAAATAACTTATGATAATCTACTGCACCACAAGAAAGGTTCCACAGCTGCTTGTGAGAGGGCTGAATGGATCAGGTGATCAGGTTTGGTGACTTGGGTGATTGCCCTGGAGACATGGAACATTAATCATGACAGGACTTCATTATTTACAAGCTGCAATAGGGGGCACAGGTGGCCCAGTCGTCTAAGGCGCCGCGATTTGCTGTGCAGAGTTGGGTCCCTTGGGCACGCCAGAAACCTATGATGGTGGGTTCGAATCCCGGTTCAACCCGATTATGTTTCTAGGTTTGTCAGCACCATACCCGTGCTCATGGGTTTCACCGAAGTGGTAAACGTCTGAGATCTGTATCACTTCGGGCTTTCCTCCCACATTAAGCTGACACGCTGTGATATAACTGGAATACTGTTAAAAGCGGCGTTAAACCCAACTCACTCACTACAAGCTGCAATGATAATGCTGGAATATGAAATTTTGAACATGTGCATGTTTAAACCCTTGAACTCGCATCTAAATCCGCCTATGGATTATTTCAGAATCTTTTCTTGGACAACAAATATTCAGTGTTATTGATTTTCTCTTTCAGATAGAAAGTCCAGACAGTGGACCCCTTGATGTCAACTTCTTCAAGTATAATGCCTCAGTGGCTAAGTCCCCAACATTCATCAACATGCGTGAGATATGCGGGCGTCACAAGCTGCCTCCAGGCACCTATGCCATCATCCCCTCCACCTTTGAACCCGGAGAGGAGGGATCCTTCCTGCTCCGAATCTTCACAGAGAAGGCCAATGAAACTGGGTGAGTTGGACTGTGGCTACATGTCGTACTAAACGTGGTTACCTCAGGGGTAACCTCAATGCCAAAAGTTTTATTTATGGGTGTCACGATTAGATGATGTATTGATGAACATGATACAATACATTTCATCCTGGGGGATTCTGGGTTAGTATAGGTCAGGGGCAACCTAACCTGGTTGTAAGAGGTGATTAAGTGGGATTCTGGGTTAGACTAGGTCCCCAGCAACCTATGCTGGTTGTAAGAGGTGATTACAAGGGGATTCTGGGTTAGACTCGGTCCCCAGCAACCTATCCTGGTTGTAAGAGGTGATTCAGTGGCAGCTACCTCATGTTATCCGGGCAACATGCAATGAGTTGAATTTCACACAATAATGCTGCAAATTAAACATGTTTGACCCAATAATATTGATACATTTTGTTTTGTAAGGTAGGTACATGGTAACAGATCATATATCAGGTAATAGATATTGTAAATCATGCCTTATAACCTGGATTTGATTTCTGGGGGTATAGGTGGGCCAGAAGAGTTGTCTCCCTTAGTTGTAATCCTGGATCCACAGTTGTTGGTTTGAATCCAAGATTTGCTCTGATTATCATCGCTGGTGTGTTGGTGATATACCCTGCTCAGGGCTTTGGTCCTTCATCAGCCCAACATACAGCGATATAACTGAAATACTGCAGGCAATCTTAAACCCATGTCACTCACTTACTCTGATAGGAATACTGAATACTATGTACAGTAAATTGTTTGCATGTATATATTGCTCAGGTTGTGAGCTTCTCATAATTGCAAGACTGTAGTTGTGTATCTTTGTTCATGTTTATTTTTAAATTAATTGTTTTAACCTCTATTTTCATTTTGTTCATTTTACATATGTTAGCTTTGGTTTCATTGCATGTTGCTTTGTATTAAGTTAAAAAATATACTTGTTTCTCACTGACTGGGTAGGGAGGGAGGATTTTATTTTCATTTTGAGTAGCAAATCTATAAAGATATGAAAATGATTTCAATATACCACCTAACCTCTTTTGGCCAATCATCCTGTGTGGAAGTGTGACCGTACAGTCCAAGCAACAGTGGCACTGCTTGGTTCCATCGCGAATCTCCCACACTGTAGATGACATGGTGTGTGCAAAAAGATGGAATCTGGTGCAAAAGTGAAATTTGAGTTGAAAAATGTGTTTATTTACAGCTAGTGCTCAACAATAAATATATTTGGGGCAGTTTTAGTGGGCAGGTCGTGAGAAACAGAGATCTAATTTGGCAAACTTTATGTTTGAAACTGCTCTCAACAATGATTTTGATACATTCCACAGTTTCCCCCATTGGTAAGTCAGGCGTGGTGTTGAGGGCACATGTAGGGTTACTCTGACATCCTGGATGCAGAGTTCCTTCGTCCGAGTGATCATAGTCACGTTTCCCATCATTTTTATAAGAGTGGTGCATGGCTGCCTGTTACCATGGTTACATGTCTGAGCATGGTAGGGACATCAACAGGATTGATTTTGAGGATTGTGTGACGTGGTGGATGCTGTCCTATGTTTGATGCATGAGGCCCATGTTGGTATTCCAGGTTTAAAATGTCCCCAGTTGCCCATGCATGTCGTCACACTCCAGCACAGTGGTGACTTAGCATTACACATCTCCCACAGGCTAATTGGCATATCACGTGACCGGACTTTTCTCTTGTTTGTAAACAAGCGCACTCAGAGTCATTGTGTTCAAAGAAATCTAGAAAAACATTCAGTTTTTCTCCATGAAACTCAATACAGTGTTGGAGGGATATGGGATCTTTTGTCTGCTTGGTGATATATTTCAGTGTCCTTTTGCACTTGCATCTGATTTGGACTTTTCTTTGCTTACATTATTTTTGTTCACATCTTGACTTTGTGTGATATGCGCCTTCAACCAGTGTGCATGCATTTCCTGTATGTATGGTTAATCTATTTTGTTCTGTGGACATGTTCTGTGAAAATTATGTTCTCTTGATTCTGTATGGCTGTAACGAGTAACATTTATCATTCATAAACTGCTTTGCCTTCTCTCGATATTATCTATTTTGTTATGGTCTGTTTCTGTTTTTATTATGTTTTTCATTTTATACTGTCTGTATTTTCATTAATCATCCTTGTATCGTGAAATAACCTGATGTTTACAGATAATGAATCTATAATTTACAATCTGGAAATCATTTTGCAGCTTCTGTGAAACATCAATAAATCCTGCGAATACTCTACCTCTATTACATCATTGCCATAATCCTCTTTTTTGTCGGTCATCACACAATAAAATCTTTCGATATTAAATAGAAGTCCTCTTCACTATCAGCTATCCATTTTCAGTTGTATGGATAATAGTCTTCCATTGCCCAGTGCTCTTGTGCATGCATAAGACGGGAGACCACTAAAATTTAACTATTTGACAGATATTTGTTAGTGATCACCAGCATTGAATTCAATTGGATGCTATTGACAATCTTTGGTTTAAATCAATAAAAGGTTGCTTTGGAATTGGGGTTTTCCCTTCTAACATTTTTCCCATTGCAAAAAGAAAATCAAAAGAAAACTGTCCATTAAATTCTGGTGTTTCTATTGCTGCAAAATGATTTGGTTTTCAAGAATGATGTGGGAGAGTGAAATGTAGAGTGTCAATGTTGGTATTTCTTCTGTTTTCAGCGAGCTGGATGAGAGGACTTCATATGTGGAGGAAGAGGTAAGTGTTATCGCGCCCATCACTTCACGGGTCTCGACAGACATAAGCATTGAAAAGTTACAATCTAACATTTCGAAATGGGACTTTAAAACATAAACTTTGTGGTAAAATATATGTATAACAAACAGTAAAAAACAACACAATCAGTTATTAGGAAAATACAACCATCACAAAGTTGGTAGAGCTTTTTCATTTGTAATTAACAACATTGTTCAACAGATTTTAGATGTGTTATAACGTGTTGAAAGAGCATTGGAAATGGTAATGTGTTGTTTTATATATTTTAAGTACTATTCATGTTAAAACTTGTGTTTCATCAAATTTATAACTTTGGACTTGCACAAAAATTGAATCACATGTTTATAATGCGCGCAAGGTTTAATCTTCAGTGTAAGTGTTGATTGTCACTTTGTGCAGTATATACAATATGCTTTAATACAACTAGTATGTCTTCTCTGGTAGACTACATTCACTATGCATTGTGATATTCAAAGTAGAAACCCTTCTTTCTTCAGTAGAAGATTGAATATTATCCTATTGTAGACTATTTCCTCCTGGGTATGGCACGTGAATACCATCCTTGGTCTCCTTTCACAAAGTGATCTTAGCGCTAACGTCGTCATAAGTCTCTGGACCGCCTCCTTGGTCTAGTGGATAGAGTGTCTGGCCCGAGAGTGGAAGGTTATGGTTCGATCCCCATCCACGTCATACCAAAGGATGTTAAAAAGATTGTACTTGTTGTTTCCCTGCCTGGTACTCGGCTTTAAGGGGATGAAACAAGGACTAGTTGACTCGGAGTCAGTATAGTGTTTCTAAGTGGGATATCTGTTTTTAGACTGTGGCATGTTATTTCTGTGGGCTAGCTCTATAAAGCCGGAATTAATCTGGATTAGTACAAGCAGCCAGACACAAACATGCATGCATCGCTTTATGAGTGCAAAAATCTTGAAAGTGACGTTAACCTCAAAAGTCGATGTTAAAGTATAGGAGTTAGGACAGTTGTAGCGCTAAGATCACTTTGTCAAAACAGCCCCCTCCTGTCTTGAAGCCATTTATGTTAAGATCTTTTAGATTATTTGTTTTATAACAAAATATTTTTGCACAAAAGCTCTTTTATGAAAGCACTACCCTGATGTTAAATATATGCACGATAAAAACAATATATCTCTCATCAGTAATAATTCATTAATCTTATCTCAATGTGTCAAAACTAATTATCTGATCATTGCATTGTGGGATGAAACAAGATATTGAACATTCTTGATAACAACCCTAAGTTTGACTTGAATAACTTTACTAGCGTCGCCATCGACCTCAACCTAGACCTACTCGACCAACAGTAAGTGCTGAGTGGTTCTGCAAACAGCATGGGTTTACTTCAAAATTAGAAACTTTTTGACTTATGCAAGATATTGGATATTTAAGCATGATATTTGTTATGTATGGATAAACAGAAGAAATGAATTGTTTGTCGTTTTCTTTAGGCCCGTTTTGAATATAACTAGTTGCAGCAGTACATTTCGTTTTGGAAGAAGTTATGAACATGAAATAAAGTCTAATATGTTTATTAATATTTCTAAAAAAATTCATCAATATTATGATATATATATTTATATAACTCTGCTATTTTCATATTAAAAAAATATTTTTATGTTATTTTTCAAAATTCTTTTTAGACAAAAAATGTTTCATGCAAATATTTCAAAATTTATATAACAATTTTGAATTGTATCTGCAGCACTGGTATGTTCAAATGGTCACGTAACATGAATGTACAGTGTTATGACAACATAAGGACACTGTGTTCTGACACAGTGTCTCTAAACCACTGACTGAATGCCGATGCCATGGTCTGAAGAAATAACATGCAATACTATGCACCTAACACACTTGAACAATGATTGATTCATTAAAGCCTGGCATGGATACTGAAGCATGTGTAAGTGTGTAATAGTTTTTATCATGTTCCTCCTAGGATCAACAGATGTTAAGAAATCATACTGTTTATGCGATTTTTTTAATTGGCGAAAGTTGAAACCGTCATCAATTTTTTTAGTTAGAAAATATTTTATTTACTTGTTATATAGATTCTGCACTGTTTCTAATGTTTCATTAATAAATATTGGGCTGATTACCCTGAAATGATTAAGTACTCTTTTTCTGTTCCCGAAACTAAAAGGCCTACCGTATTCAACGTAATAAGCGCCAACGACGATTTTTGCTAATATATTGGCTAGTGAACAATCCCAATTTGCCCCCTTTCTGATTGATCAGAAGACATATTTATTTGTGTATAATACGCACTCTTGTTATATGCACCCTTAATTATGGGCAATTAAATTCTGGAAAAATATATCTGTAGTATATAACATGCACAGACTTTTCTTTTGTATCATTTCAGGCTGTCAGCATAAACCACGAAATTTACGATCTTTCAACTCTTTTTTTGTTTTTATCAAAATTTTATTCTATTAGGGCCCCTATTTCTAATTTTGAGAGCGCCCTGGGCACTTATTACGTCGAATACGTTTTTTACTGTTCAACTGATTTTTTTCATTTGAAAAAATTATGAAACTGATGAACAGTTTCTGTTAAATAATTGAGCAAAGTGCACAAACCTGTTGATCTATTGAGGTCCAATACTCTAAAGTGTATGTTATGGAGAAGGTGCTGAGATGATGTGCTATCTCAAACTGGCCTATCGTTTACTCTCTCAATTCAAAAGAGAACACTTCTAAAGGGAGACAACTTCTGTATCTTAAAGGTGCTTTGCAAGATGAGTTATGTAAATAAATGGATTTCTTTGAATGGTATCTGTCTTTCCCTTGTTTTGCACATATCTTTTCTTTTTCAATACTTTGTTTTCACTTATTGGAAAAAGTTGGGCTTTATGAAATTAGACATGATGTTTTGTGTACTTGCATATGCATAAATTGGTACTATTAAGAATGTATTTTTATTTTTTCGAGGTAGCAGAATATCTTCTACTGATTATGGTTGCATTGCACAGATTACTAGTGATTTTGCAACAGTGCTTTTGATAGGATTAATTGCACAGTTTTGATTTATTTTAGGTTAATAATGTGCTCCTTAATATTTATAAGCCAGATGATACAAGGTACATGATACATAATTTGTAATATGTATAGAGAGAGTTTGTTGTTGTCTGAATGATTCAGAGTGTTGTGTGTACAGCTGTGTGATACATAGACTAGTTATTCCATGTTATTTGGAGTTGTTAGGAAAATAGTGTCAATATTTCCAACATACATATGAACCCAGTGTTGAGTATGGTTTATAGATGCATGAAGGAGTGTTTCGTTTGGATTATCTGACAAAGTGTTAATGATAACTATAACACATATTTATGAAGTGACACCTTGTTAATTCGGACAGTTCCTTTCAAAGAGAAAACCTCCTGAATCAATTAGTCATTGGTAATTAGTACTGCCCATGTACTTATATATAGACATTCCCCACAGTGATCATCTTGAAGGGGATGTCTCCGGATTAACAGTGTCTGGACAAGCAAGGTTTCACTGTATGTAAATAAATATGTATCCTGAAGATGACTTTTTAATTAAGCGTCTTGATGCCCTGTGGCATACAGTGTTACAACTTGATATGCAGAGTGGCTTCCCTTTGATCCTTGGATCAGTGGGTTGGAGGTTTGAATCCCAGATTTTGAATTCTGATATGGCATGCGAGTTTTGCCAAAGTGGTTGTGGGTTTTCATTGAACTAAAGCACTGAAATAGTCTTTAAATCAGCGTTCAGGTCAAGCAGCTTAAGTTTTCTGCCTACGGGTATATAACACAGCCGGAATGGCCAACAACCGCACCAGTCCTTGCATGAACTAAGCCAGTGATTTATTCCAGTTTTCGTGAATTTCTTGTTTTTGTAAAACCCAAATGTGTTCAAAGTGTTTCTTTTGTTTTCTAAATCTTAAAAAAGATTACTAAAATGTTCACATAAACAACTTGTGCATGTACTTTTCAACATACCGATATACAGCCATGAATTTTCTAATGCATATTTATTCCATAAGAATTTCTTTTCATGTAAAAAGATCTGTCTTAATCCATCTGATGTTTTTCAGTTTACTTTAAGACCAGCAACCACCCATATTATCTATGTAGATTTTCCTGAATCCTTACTTACATCCAAATAATAATATTGATGTTGTATTGTAAAAGTGTGCACTTATGTAGACATGTCTTCTTGATCTATGTAAAAACTGTCGTTTTCGTTTTACGCCTCCATCTCTTGATGTTGTACAGTGTTTCCACAGTATGATATATGTGCCTGTCATTGTTGTCTTCTTTTTATGGACGGTGCGCGGTTACCAAACTGGGATAACTTCCGATGAAGTTGTACAAACTCAGGCAATTCCAGTATCGGCCGCGCGGAGACAGGTAGAACTGTGACCCTCGCCTTGAGGAGTGATTCCTGACTCGGAAACATAACTTACTCAGTTCTATATTAACATTGTGAATACCTTGTTGAACATCCCTGTTTTAAATAAGGTTTTCTTGAATTAATGTCGGTTACAAATCAGTTGAGTATTCATGTTGAATTCTTTAAAGGGTTTGTTGTTGTTTCAAATTTTGTGCATGGACTTCTGTGGCTATTAAAAGTCTTGTAAATTCAGATTTCACTGCATGGTCAAGAAAGACAGATTGTGATATTTTCCATTCAATTTCTTAAATCTTGGTATTTTTAATACCTTTGTTTTATTAGGTATCATTCATGGGTTCATTTCAATCTTATATTGTTCAGATGGACTATCTATGATGTGTGTGATGAGTTCGAGTAATATCTTCATAATGAAAGAAGTCGAGATTTGAATTCAATTTCTTTCATTGCACAGGTGGCTAAAAGAGTTGTAAGTTGAGAGTGGTTCCGATGTCGTCAGTTTACATTGACATACTAACTGTGTTTACACAAATATGATAGAATTAAACAGTAGGTGTTGTTACGAATATGTTCCCTACTTGCATGCACAGAGAGTGGAGTTATATTTCCTGTGGTTGAACCGTCACCATGTTAGTGGGAGGTCAGCATGAAGGGTGTACATGCAGAGTACACCTCGGGGTTAAGCATGGAGGTTCTGGATGGGTCTCTGGTGTATAGAGTACACCTCAGGGTTAAGCATGGAGGTCCTGGGTGGGTCTCTGGTGTATAGAGTACACCTCAGGGTTAAGCATGGAGGTTCTGGATGGGTCTCAAGCAACGAGGTCCTGGATGGGTCTCTGGTGTACAGAGTACACCTCAGGGTTAAGCATGGAGGTCCTGTGTGGGTCTCTGGTGTATAGAGTACACCTCAGGGTTAAGCATCGAGGTCTGGGTGGGTCTCTGGTATACAGAGTACACCTCAGGGTTAAGCATGGAGGTCCTGGGTGGGTCTCTGGTGTATAGAGTACACCCCAGGGTTAAGCATGGAGGTCCTGGGTGGGTCTCTGGTATACAGAGTACACCTCAGGGTTAAGCATGGAGGTCTGGGTGGGTCTTTGGTGTACAGAGTACACCTCAGGGTTAAGCATGGAGGTCCTGGGTGGGTCTCTGGTGTATAGAGTACACCTCAGGGTTAAGCATGGAGGTCCTGGGTGGGTCTCTGGTGTATAGAGTACACCTCAGGGTTAAGCATGGAGGTCCTGGGTGGGTCTCTGGTGTATAGAGTACACCTCAGTGTCAAGCATGGAGGGTCTGGGTGGGTCTCTGGTATACAGAGTACACCTCAGGGTTAAGCATGGAGGTCCTGGGTGGGTCTTTTGGGCAGGATGGGTGTTTTTTTTGTCTCTGTGTCAAAGTGGTCAAAATAATTCCAACTTTCCATGTTTATTACCATATAATCCTTTTTTGCTTTAAGAAATACAAAATATCTGTGATTAAATAAATTCTAGTATTTATATCAGGCAAAGAATGTGTTTAATTCAGTTCTATACTTCATTATTAACAGAAATGGGGAGGTTGTTATTCAATAAAAAGTGTGGACAGTTATTTTATGGATTATACTACAGATACCGTGTTCAACATAATAAGCGCCCACCCTGATATTTGCCAATATATTGGCAAGTGAACAGTCCGAATTAGCACCCCTTCTGATTGATCAATGTATACAAGACTTAAATTTATTCATGTATAATAAGCACTCGTGTGTTATATGCACCCCTAATTATGGGCAATTTAATTCTGGAAAAATATATCATTTCAGGCTGTCATTAAAACCACGAAATTAACGACCTTTCAACTCTGATTTTTTTCACCGAAATAATATTCTAATAACAGCCCCCTATTTCTAATTTTGAGAGCACCCTGGGTTCTTATTATGTAGAATACGGTAATATAAATGTGGTTTTCAGGATTTTCAACTCTTACAGATATATCCTGTAGCTCAATAAAAACAGTTTTTGATATTGATAATCTGTGAACCTTAACCTTGAATGTGTGGGTTCTGTTTGGTTGAGAAAATGGTGACATTTTAAGCTAAAAACATTTTACTGTTCGTTGAATAAAATAGAAATGCAAAGCTAAACACATCATCTTAAACCATACTTTGAATACAAGCTTGTTATTTAAAAGCAAAAAGAATAATAAAATAACGGTTATGTTTTAGATAAGATGTTTTCATAATAATTAATACTCTTTAGCCTCTCAGAGTGAACTTCTCTTCTGGTCTAATAAGCATTCACAAACTAGTCACCTGATTTTATACTACTCAAAAGAAGTTAAGGAACACTCAATTTTTTCATGACAATAGTTAGCTGTCATGAAATTGTCTATAGTAATACTGCTACATCTATGAAAAAATTGGGTGTTCTTTTTTCACTTATTTTGATTAGTATATATTTTTAAGGACGCCATATGTTTCTGTTTTTTGTTTATTTGGTTAAGAGCTTTATTCATTCTTCATTTAACTCATCAACGTGCACTGTAGAACGTGTTGTCAGTGTCCCTGCAGTAGTATGTAGAATGGAGATATGGACAGAAGTGTCCTCTCCTTAATGCATGACTCATTAGCTCATAGACCCGTTTCTACAAACCAGGATAGATAGAAGGAAACTTGTTGGACATAAAAACAGAAATGAAATAAATGTATGTCATTGTGTTTAAATGAAGGGAACCAACGCTTCCTTTTTTCTAAGAATAATTAAATGCAAGTCATGGTGTGTCGCCACACCAAGATCCACCAACAGTTTTTAGAAAATCCAACTCTTTGAACACTAATACCACCTCAAGGGTAATGCATTGTCAGTACTGCCAAGAATTGAGCCTATAGAATGCATAGACACAGGCATCAACCAGAATATTGTTACCTTATGATTCTTTTTGTATTTAAGTGAGTATTGCTTTGTGCCGCTTTTGCAATATTCCAGTAATATCACAGCCTTGCGAAACCAGAAATGGGCTCTATTTGAATGAGAATTTTTTTATTTAATGTATAATTAAAGTTTTGTCCCAATACTTCGTGTAGTTTTTCTACAGCTTGTGGAATTTCTAAACACAAATCATCAGGAAAACTGATCCAAGAAAGAAAATGGATATATTTGTTTACCGATACTTCCAAATCGTTGATTATTTGAATCATGATTTCTTCCAGACTTCCTCTCATCTATAGGGAGGGACTGCATTAACAATATGTCCGCCCCTGTGCTTCCGATCTTTGTTGTTTAAGCATGTGCACGTAGTGACGTTTGATTGGTCTATCGCCTTAGTTGATCGGTGTGTTTCTCACCTTCCTATGTTGTCACAGCATGGTGATGTAGACTCAGGGAGCCAGCATGAAGATGAGGACGCAGAGGTTATTTTGTGACCTTCACCTTTTGTTTCACCTTGATGTCTGTCCTTCACCTTTGTTCTTTTTAAATCCATTGCTGGTTGTACACTCATCTGGAAATTTGATCTAATACTTTCATGTAACTTTAGGTAATTGTAGTTTAATTTCTCTACTCAATTAATAACTGTAAGTATTGAGTCACTCAAACTTCTTGATAATCTTTGTATGACCAGCATATGGCCTTAGGCTTGTTTGAACTTTGTTTTTTTGTGTTGCTTGCAAATGTCATGCCTTAGTTTTGTGTGTTTTGCTTTAAAGTGTGTTCTTCGTAGAAACATCACAATCATTATAACATCATCATTTAAATGCATTAATCATATAAATCGTAACTGGTAATAAGTAAAGTTAGAATTGTTCTGTAACGTAGTCCTCCTTGGTGGCCAGAGGACTCTGACATTGAAGGAAGTAATATCAGAGTTAAAGTATTAGACACAGTGTGTGCATGTTCAAGCTTACTGGATATTATACCGCTTTGATCTCAGCTTCAACACAGAGTGTGTAAGCAAGACACTTCAACACGCCAGTATATATATACACATGTCAAAACAGCGAATTCCATGTTAAACTTACCAGTGGTTATATCGATTGTATCCTGACCCTGTGGTCAAAGGTCAAGGGTTGAATTGCCGTTTCATCTCAGGTATGACCTTTGGTGTTAACCTTAGTCACGGGTTTCATGTGGTAAATGTCAAAACCTCGGTAACTTTGAGCTTTCCACTTACATCAACCTGATGCCTCATCAAATGGCTGAAATATTGTTCAAAGTGGCGTTCAGCCGAGTTTTCTCCTGATTCAGTGACTCATAGTCTGGCGACCATTGCCCTCACATATTGCACTAGGCTACAGCTGGGTCTCAATGGAGACCCTGAAGGGATGCCACGCGGCTTCTTCATGATGAGACCATGGTCTCCAACTCACTCATGCTAACTACTCTAGGGCCACAATAAAAAAATTGTTAAATTTTCATCCAGGGAAAACAAAAGAATGAGACACATCTGTGTACATGAACTGTTCACAGATGCAGTTTACACGAAGCATGGATGTTTGGTAGGACAGTTTATGTGATTATTTCATCAAGTAAGAAAGAATGGAATTCATGTAAAAGTTTTTCTCTCCGCGTGAAGATCTGAGACCATAGTAGGTCGTGTCAGGAGAACTTTCTAATCAGCCAATCAGCTTTGAGGTTTCTAAATTCTTGGTACAAGTGACCGAAGCATTCAAAGCAGTCTGATTTCTGTATCTTGAAAACGAACTCAAACCACAAGTTTGGAAATTAGAAATAATAGCAGTGCCATTATATTGTTGTGGATATTAAATACACCTGCCATGGCATCTTCTCCCAATATGGAGAACCATCAAAGGAATATATGTGTGGGTTTTCATTTGTATAAATCAAACTTTCCACAATAAGGTAATAAAATGAAAACCAAATCGTTTTACAAAGCTGTCATCTGATTGGCTCAGGAACCCACGTAGCCTACTTTAAGAGTGGGCGGTCTCTGTATGCTCAGGTTCATCCAACATGACCTATGGAGTGTCCTCACTTCTTAATGCAGGGAGGTATCATATCGGAGTAAAAAATCTGATTTTGATGCAAATCGTGAAAATCTAATAATTTATTTATTATGGCTTTAGAGGAAAGTCATACTAGATTGACAAGTGTATGTAGACATGTTCAGTGTCTGAATAATGAAAATGTGCCTTTGAATTTGTAGAGTTGAATGCAAGTTTTCTCATTTGTCATTTTGTCCAAAGATTAACTTTAGTATTAAGTTTAACTTGTTGATGCACACGTAATACCATCTTCCCAAGGCAAGGGAGTTTACTGACTATAAAGGTCTAGTTTCCACCCTTGACAAACTAGCCTGGACTTACAGAGTTTTATTTTGCCTGGACTGACTTTGCATAGTCCATTTTATTACAATATAGATCTTCACTTTTGATCAGACTGGACGCCACCATTTTGTTTGAAGCTCATGCAAGTGATATGAGAGGTGGAATCTGATTGGTCAATAGGAGGGACATTGCAGGAACATATCACCGGTGCGCTACGATCAAGCCAGTGGAAACTGGACTTTTACAGTCAGTAAGCTCCCTTGCCTCGGGAAGATGATTTCATACACAATAACATGTTCTATTCATTAGTTCTATGAATTGGTCACATTTCCACTGACATAGAATATTTCTTTCAGGAAAATTATTGTTGATGACACTGTTTCTTTTTTGTTGTTGTAAAAACTAACTTACTGTTTTCTTTCAGATTACTATTGTTTTACTGTGGTATTATAAAAATAAGTCAATATGTTGTTTTGAATCTGTATGATAGTTATTCATAAAGGGTTCGTATCAGTCTACTGAGACTAATAGAAATTACAACTTACCCTCCACACTATAAATGTGTAGGATTCATAGCATACGATAAGCAAGATACTCCTGGTAAGGTAATACATCAGATCTAGATGGAAACATCCAGTTTGCATTTTACATAATTATGATCATAAAAATAGTATTTTGATGACGTTAACACAGAGACTACGACTTTGTATTAAACATTAGATGAACTATTTAGGTTATAAAACGTGGGATTGTGGGACTAAGTATCTGTTTACGTCACCAGGAGGCGCCACCACCGACGGAGGAAGAGCAGCAGCAGGGAGACAACTTGAAAGAAAGTTTCCGAAATATCGCCGGGGAGGACATGGAGATTGATGCATATGAACTCAGGGACATTCTCAACTCCGTCTTCACAAAAGGTATATTTCTTTTGTTATGTTGATCAAAAGATCTGTTTCCATGACTTTTGAAATTTAATTTACCGTATCCGACGTAATAAGCGCACCGCTCTAATAAGCACCCACGGTGACATTTGCTAATATATTGGCTGGTGAACAATCCCAATTATCAACCCTTCCGATTGATCAATGTACACAAGACTTATTTATTCGTGTATAATGCGCACTCGTGTGTTATATGCACCCTTAATTATGGGCAATTAAATTCTGGAAAAATATATTTGTCGTACATAAACATTTCAGGCTGTTAGCATAAACCATGAAATTTATCTTTCCAAAATTATATTCTAATAAGAGCCCCCTATTTCTAAGTTTGAGAGCGCCCTGGGCGCTTATTATGTCGAACACGGTATTCACTTTAAGGAAACTCTTTTTCTTTATTTTACATGCCTGGACCACAGGCTTACATAAACTGATGTTGTATGTTATCAGTCATTGTGTTTACAGACATATTGGTCATGATCAGGTTTCAGTGATTGTCACTGCACCACTTATACAGACATATTGCTGTACAAGTGGGGTCCTTGCCGTGACTTATGGATTGTCCAAAATCTATGCAGTCTAAAATCCAGGCATAAGGTTTCGATTTATTCTTTCGAACTTTTATATTAGCTGATATTTTGTGAAACATGAGGAAGGGTTATTAAAGGCCTCAGAAGCATCTAATATGCCTTGAATTTATTATACATATGATATTCCTTAACCGCATGATCTGTTAACTATTTTGAAAGTGCCCCATATGGCACTAATGCATGGAAATTAGTTGTTCCAAATTCCATCGAGTAATAATGAAAAAATATTAGAGTGACAAAATTAAATAAAAAATCTCGGTTCTGATATTCATGTAGGAAGGTGAGATGTAAACCTTTGTGAACTGACTTTAATAGTTAAAGTTGCTTGATGTCATGAGTGGTTTGATGGCCTGTTGTACAATGTTGAAGTGTTTATCACTTGCATGTGAGAATTAATATTGAATATATTCAGTAACTGTCGTGTAATGACTGTGTACTTGTGGTGTGAGAAGTTTGCCGGGTGTATGCATAGGGCAGACAAATAACTGAAAAACAAGGTTTCATTGAAAATAGTAACTATTGAATATACTAAATCATCCCATGGAGATTCAAGGTGGGAATTGGCTCTCGAAACCCGATGCTTGTCGAAAACCGATGCTTGTTGTAAGAAGCGACTTAAAGGATCGGGTGGTCAGGCTCGGTGTCTTGGATGATTGTGTGTCATCATACGCTAGCGACGTTGATCTTTGCTCAAATATCAATCACTGGATTGTCTGGTCCAGACTTGATTATTTACAGGCTGTTGTCATATGGCTGGAATATTGCTGAGTGCGGCGAAAAAATATACTAAATGTTTCTGTCGCTCTCAAAGCATTTAGATCTTTGTATTTGAGTGATGTTCCCATCTTGTTGTGACAGTCCTCAATGGTCATCTAGTCAAGGACCAGTCTAGAAACCCACTGTGTTGAGTAGGCTAGTACTAACATTGAACTATTTATTTGACAGACGACTTTCTTGGTAAGCTATGGTCAACAACAACGAGCAGGCAGGCCGGCAAGGCTGCAATGTCTACATTCACCCTTAGTCAGACTAGTCCCCCTTATGGTTTTGGATGTCACATCAGAATATTTCAATTTAAAAAAATGTTACCATGGTAACTCTTTCCAATAAATTTCTTTCAGTAAAGGACACACATATGACTCTTTTTTATTTCAACCTTGTTTTTTTTCGAAATTTGGTGTATATTGGAGTAACCATTTGTTAATACTGCATCCTTTTTCTATTCAAATTGGATATTCCACAAAACTGGTTCCAAATATTTGTTTTTGTTTGAAAGATGAAGTTTTTATTTATTACATCTTAAATATATTCACAATTGATAAACACAATTTATATGTATTAAATCAAAAAGAATTTATTAACAGATTTTGCTACGAAATTTACGATTTTATGGATTGTTTTGAAATATTCTGATGTTCTGCATGATCTGTTTTCATTTATTGTAACATCATGAATCACATGTTAATTTGAGTTACTGTCAGTAGAAACATGACTTGGTCAGTATCTACGCTACTGAGTTCATAATTCATTATTTATTTAGCACATACACTTGTTGTGTGGCACATATGTACCAATGTATGGCTGCCCAAGCTATTAGATGCTGTAACTTTAGTGTCACATCTCTTTCAGCTTAATCATATTTCTTAGGCCCAAAAAACATTGTTTGCTATCAATTTGTTGTTGATCTTATCTAACAACTCCCCATTCTGTCTTTTTAACTAATGTTTTAATTGGCTGGAAAATCTTGTTCTCAAGCAATGATTCTGTTGAAATTTAGTTTTAAAAGGTTAACTACAGTGGTGGTAAAAGTTCCATATTGACTTAAGGTTGAGTTTTGGTATTGGTGGCCTAGTGGTTAAGGTGTTCACCTTTTTAGACTGAAGACTGGGTTTGATTCCTCAAATGTATGAAGCCCATGCTTTATGTCCCACAGTGTAATAACTCTGTTTTAAAAAGCCTTTATGTTGTTTTGCATAAATACATGATATATGAGGTGCTTGAGAAGCAAGAATATGTATATAAAATCTGAAGTTTTCATGAAATTCTTGGCTGAATATGATGTTTTTTAATCCAAGCACAATTTTCATGTCATGCATCCTTCGATATATGTGTTTTCTGGCTATCTCTCTCCACTCCCGACTTTCACATTGATAGCAAACAAATCATTCAATTAAGACCTCACCAATCATTTTCTTATCATATTGTGTCTAATTAGTGTTACTGCTTTTTCTATATGATCCAAATAGTATTTACAGTTTAACAGAAAATTATATATTTTGCTGATAAATCAATAATTTCTAAACATGCAAATTTATATTGCATATGAATACTGAACATGTTCTCTGAAATTGACATATATCATAACAAATTGTTATCATATGCTGTTCTTGTTATTTCCGATTTTCAGAATTTAGAAACAGTGTAATTAATGGGTTTTGTCTTGTATTTTGGAATAAAATGGGTTTGTTTATGGAACTTACTGCCATACATTTTTCAAACAAAGTTTATGTCACTCTCAAAAACTGCCTTGGTGGCCTTGGGTCCAGGGTATTTATGATAATAGAATACAGGGAAACTACCCTGGATTATTGAGGATGGGATGTGATATGCTGAGAAAACATTTACTAAGATCTTGGTTGACAAGATCAGGTGATTCAGGTTTAAGAAAAGCAATGTCATATGTTCAGAGAATGTCTACAGTATTTTGTCATCAATCAATTGCTGGTACTAACCATCTCCTTTTTTTAAAGTCTATTATTCCATGAATTAATAAGACCATAACTGTTTTGCTTACCTATCCATGTTAAAGGACATCTGATATGTATCATAATCAATTCAAAATTCTGTGAATTTCCCAATGATTTTTCATTTGAAACAGTACAAGTACGTATGTTGAGAATTTCAATCAGGGTCACTAATTCTACACAATATGGTAACGCTGTGTGCAGCTTGAGCACACCAACCACGAGCTGTGTCTGTCATGGCTTCCTACTCCTACTTATAACAGACCGATCCACCAAGAATGTGGGATTGGGAATTTATAAGAAAAGAGAGTAATAAATTTGCTTTGAGCTGCAGTATTGAAACTCATGTTTACTGTGTCATGTGAGTGTGTTTACCGGCCGTAGGCGCAAACCATGGACCATGTTGGCTGATAGGTTTTGTGGCTAAGTTGTTCTTAGTTGTCTGGAATATATCATATATAAGCTACTGTGCAAGTGAATAAAGTATTGCATGATAAGATACATACCAGCATGCTACAAACATTTAGGTTTGTTAGGCCACAATAAATTGAATATTTCTTCATCAAGTTATTTCTTAAAGATTTTTTGTACTGGCACCAATGTTTTTAAAAATATTTTTCAAGTGATATACTCCTTTGTGATAAATACAATCTATATGCAAAATTGAAGATAAAGATGATACCCATTCAGAGAATTTTGTAGATATGCCATTTTGAAGTAACAGATCAGGGACAAGTGATGGTACTTTATCAAAATATAGAGGTACCGTTACAAACATTGGAAGAAGCTCTTTTCCTGGGCCCACTTGCACAAAGCGATCTTAGCGCTAAGATGATCGTAACTCCCATACTTTAACATAGGCTTACAATAGTCGTAGCGCTAAGATTGCTTTGTGCAAGTGGGCCCTGGAGGTGATTTTCCAGCTCAATGTGTTCACCACACACAAAACTAAATGAAAGGTAGAGGGGATCTCGATGAAAAAATAATAATTTTTTGTGGCTATACCTATATGCTTTTAGTATGAAATAGAAATAGGTAGTAAAGACAATATCTAATTATTTATTTAAGGATTGGATTCATATTGTTACAAGAAAACTATCTTCTCTTGAAATCCTTTCTTTTGGCAAATGGGAGGAAGGCACCAACTAACATGGGGGATATGAGTATAGGTGTACTTTACTAACTGTATAATATGTTCACAACAACTTCCAAGTGTTTGCATCAAAGTAATGTATTTTGTAAGTTACGATTTAGTTTAAATCAAATATTGTTGAGATTTAATTGTCATATTCAAAATAGACACTTAATCTGAGGTAAAAGCAATAAATCCATGATCATGTGTCCTTAACACTGTTTTAGATAATTCTAACATTACAAATAGTTTTGTGGAAAGTAGTTTTATCAAAATGTTTGCATTGTCTTGTAACTTGACTGTTCTGTTGTAATAACAAGCATAATGTTGAATGAAGGCCTGATTAAGGTCCTCAAAGTGCAGTGTGTTATTGATGGTAGATAGTTCTCAATTACAACTTAGTTCATAGTTTAATCTTCCGTTTGATCTTTTGCAGAGTTCTCCTTCGAGGGCTTCACCATTGACTGCACTAGGAGCATGGTAGCCATGCACGATGTATCCTTCCTGTGTAAACATTAATCACGACAAAAAGACCAAACTAAGATCTTCATGGAGATTACCGTATTCGACGTAATAAGCGCTCAGGGCGCTCTCAAAATTAGAAAAAGGGGGCTCTTGTTAGAAGAAAAGTTTTGGGAAAAGAAACAGAGTTGAAAGGTCGTAAATTTTTTGATTTATGCTGACAGCCTGTAATGATACAAACGAAAAGTTTGTGTGTATTATACACGACAGATATATTTTCCAGAATTTAATTGCCCATAATTAAGGGTGCATATAACACACGAGTACGTATTATACACGAATAAATAGGTCTTGTGTACATTGATCATATATATTGACATAAATTTATTGTTTTTATCAATGATGTTTATAAACACATTATAATCGCCCTTGTTTTTTTTATGTTCCAACAATATAATTAGAGACACTTCTGTACTGAGTTATGTCCCTTGACCGATGTCCAGGGTGATCTGTCCGGCAAGCTGGGCTATGATGAGTTCAAGGCCTTGTGGCTTGACCTGAGGAGATGGAAGGTAAGTTGCATTATTCGTCCCCATTGGAAGTATGGGAGGTTGATAGAAAGTAGCGGTAGCCAATGTTTTGGGTGAAAAATGACAGAAATAGAGATTGGAATTATTGGGTGTTGATTGGGTGTGGGGCGGGGTGGATCCTCTAGGGTGGAGGAGTTGAGTGTGTGTTTGTCAACACCATTTTTAGCATATTCCAGATTGTAATCAACCAATTCACTGACTTATTGAATTCATTACCGTAATTACAGTCGGGTGAGATTTTACTTGTGTTGTGTAAAAAACCGTGACATACCCACCTGTTGTCACACACATTGGTTTTCACTGAGACCTGAATGTGGAGTGTTCAGTAGACATAGGCAGTATTATTCTTTCCACCACAAGATTTACCCAAACTTTATGGAATATATGAGCATGTCAATGAGAATTGTATCAAATTGATACTTTTTGTCATCAGTGTTGTAGTCGAACAGTACTTACATGAAGTAAAGATCTTTTCACATTCTCAATGTTTCCTTGTATTTTCTTGAAATTAGTTATGTTATAACTAAATTTGCTTGTTTATGTAATTTGCATTTAGTAAATATTAATTTGATTTTAGGGAGTTTTCAAGGAATACGACCATGACGGAAGCGGACATCTGAGCTCCTATGAAATAAGAGCAGCATTAAAATCTGTTGGTAAGTGTTTACTTATATATACTACTCAAGAGAAGACAAGAATACCTGATTTCATATTACTTTGGTTAACCTGTCATCCTTGGGTGTCTGGATAAACAGGGTGTCTGGATAAAGAGGTTCCCAGAATCAAGATGGTGGACGTAGTGGCTGATATGTCTTCTTGGCTGATGGTGGCAACAATGTCATTTAGAGACTTCCAGCCCTGCTCTCCCAGACAAACGCCTGCCTACATTACCAGGCCCGTGAAGATGCCGGTGTAGAATAGGTCTTCGGCAACCCATGCTTGCTGTAAAAGGCGACTATGCTTGTCATACGGGGCGACTAACGGGATCGGGTGGTCAGGCTCGCTGACTTGGTTGATGCTTATCATCGATCCCAATTGCGTGGATCGATGCTGATGATATCAATCACTGGATTGTCTGGTCCAGACTCAATTATTTACAGACCGCCGTCATATAGCTGGAATATTGCTGAGTGCGGCGTTAAACAACAAACAAACCAAATCTTATTTACTAATTCCTGTTGCAGGTTTCCGACTGAGCAACCTGACGTCCAGATCTGTTGTGATGAGATACAGCAACAAGGAGGGACAGATCGAGTTCGGGGACTTTATTATGTGTGCAATCAGGCTCAAGACTATGCTGTGTAAGCTGTTGCTAGACGACTGTGGTTGTAATTGCAAGATCCCTAATGAAGATCTGGATTAGAATTGGTCTTCAGCAACCCATGCATGCCATAAGAGGCGACTAACAGGATCGGGTGGTCAGGCTTGCTGACTTGGTTGATGCATGTCATTGTGTCCCAACTGCGTAGATGGATTCTCGTGATGTCAATCACTGGACTGTCTGGTCCAGACTTGATTATTGGCAGTCATCGTCAAATAGATGGGACCTCCTCCGTGGTCTTGAGGTAGAGCGTCTGCCCGGAGAGCGGAAGGTGCGGGGTTAGATCCCCGTCCGCGTCATACCAAAAGACGTTAAAAGATGGTACTTGTTGTTACCCTGTCTGGCGCTCGGCTTTAAGGGGCTGAAACAAGGAGTCAGTATACTGTGTCTGAGTGGGGTATTCATGTTAAACTGCGGCATGGTATCTCAGTGAGCTAGCACTATAAATCGGCATCAGTCCGGACTAGTACAAGCAGCCACACACACACATGTGCATGTATGTCGCTATATAAGTGCAATAATCTTGGACGCGACGTTAAACCCAATTTCACCTCACCTCACCTTACCTCATATCGATGGAATATTACTGAGTGCAGCGTTCAAAAACAAGTTCAATGCTAACATGCCGATGGCAAGTCATATCAAAAAGCTCACCTAGATTTAGAATACTGTGAGGCTGTGCATAATTATTGTATTTATAGTATGTTCTCATCGCTATATTGGCTGAAATATTTCTGATCTGGCATCAAATATTAGCTCACTCATTCATAATGTTATACTGCAACATTTGACAGGGACATTGAGATATTTCAATATTTAATACAGTGACATAAGACGGCAACAGTTAACAAATTGAACTGTGTATTTATGTTTAATTAACTTGAAATAAAGCAGCACATGCTTCAGATCTATGGCAAATACAAATACTGTTCGTATTAGACCTGGGACAGGTAACATAGGTACTCGGGTCGGGTGGGTCTTGACTAGGACCTGGGTACCCACAGGACTACTGGACCTGTGGTTAGTCAAGTGATTGTTGTTTAATGGCAAAAATTATCTAGAACTCTATGGTTACACTATAAGTGAGAAATGTTCACATTTCTTTCTGACAATGCACACATTCCTTCTGACTTCATATGTTTGCATTAAGATAAAACTTCAGTCAACTTCAGTGTATGCATGATCAGATCGTCTTATACCTGTATCTAAATACATTTTGACAGGAGTACGGTCAAACTATTCCCAATCGGACATTTTGTATCTATCTCTTGAGACCTAAAGCAGGTACTCGGGTAGGGTCGGGTAATAGGGGGGTGGGTACCCGGGTAGTAAATTTTGACTCGTCCCATCCCTAGTTCGAATGACAACATATCTTAGGCATCAGTAATAGCCCCGCCTGGATATGTTTCCATCTTGTGTCTGATTCATCTTCTGCATCTTCTGGTCCAGGTAGGAATCCTGGATTTGACCCTATAATGACCTTCATGGTCTGTCTGCACCATGCTCTTGCACAAATATCTGCATCATTTTGGAGTTTTCCTGTCACATAGAACTCCCATAGAGTGATACTGTCCATATCGGCATCATGTCCAAACTCTCTCACTGAATATGAGAAACAATTTGTCATTTTGAATGTTGTGTTTTCAGCTTCTTTCAAGGCAGTGGATCCCGAGGGTCAGGGTCTTGGAGCCTTTGATGTTGATACTGTGAGTACCTCCAAGTCATGTATGTCAGAAGTCCATATATCCACTGACATCCTTAATCATATTTGGTACCGTACTCTATGTCTCCAAATGGGGGACATGGGTGGTGGAGTAGTCTAGTGGTTAAAGCGTTAGCTCGTCGTGCCGAAGACACGGGGTCGCTTCCCCACATAGGTACATTGTGTGAAGCACATTTCTGGTGTCCCCCGCCGTGATATTGCTGGAATATTGCTAAAAGCGGCGTAAAACCATACCCACTCACTCATCCAAGGGGAAGAGGTGGCTTAGTTATCCAATACACTGGAGTTTACTGTGGTGTGTTGTGCCCCTTTGGTGTGCCAGTAACCTATGATCGGGTCGTATCCTAGTTTGCCCTCATTGTGTCTAGCTTTGTCAAGACCATGCTGGTGTGTTACACTAAGGTGGTGAACATCTAAGACCTGCCTCACTTCAGTCTCTCCTCCCACTTCACGTTTACATGCTGTGATATAACTGGAATACTGTTCCAAGGCGGGGTCAAACAATACTCACTCACTCTTCCCAGGGCGGTCGGGTAGCCTAGTGGTTAAAGCGTTCGCTCGTCACGCCGAAGACCCGGGTTCGATTCCAGACATGGGTACAATGTGTGAAGCCCATTTCTGGTGTCCCCTGCCGTGATATTGCTGGTATATTGCTAAAAGCGGCGTAAAACCATACTCACTCACTCACTCTTCCCAATATTTTCCTTTTAGCATATGTGATTGAGGAAAAACACAAAATTAATTCTGCTTTAAACTAAACATTTAAGTATAAATTAATTAATACTGCTCTCAGTCAAATATTAATATTTTTATTAAATTTCAAAATATGACTGATTTCTAGGTCATTAATGAGTATTTTCATTAACATACTTCGATTTATATTTCAGTTCATACAAACCACGATGTACTCCTAAAACAGTTGTCATGACAATGGGGTCAGCCATATTGCTGCCAGTCACTTCTGCCATCTTTGATGTCCTATATTCTACCTACTGTCATATCAGTCAATGTTATTTCATACCACGAATCTCTTGATGTTGATGAAACTACGCCCTTGGTTGTGTGTAGTTCATTCCTGTTTATTGATGTGTTTGTAAACAGTTTCAATAACCATTCTTCCATATTGATATAAAACTTCAAACTTGCAATAATGTTTATGTTCTCGCCTTTGGAAATGGATTTTGTAGGACTTATTCCACTTTTCCATTATTGTTATTTCTACTTTGAAACTGTTGATAAAATGTCTTTCATAATAAAACATGTCCCACTGACTCAGGACGTAAATAAAACCACATGCTATGCATTTGAATCATTCTTAGATTTGTGAATAAGGTATCTCTATCAGTCCAGAGTACTGATGTATGCTCAATGCAAGATCTGGCAGTATTATGTCATATCAATGAAAAATGTTTGAACTTGAAAAAAACAGTATGAAACATCCTTACCTCTGTTATGGCAAAAAATTCGTCCATGCGAATACTGCATAATGGTAGCAAACTTAAAATCTTCTTCAAGGCCTGTTAAAAAATATTTCTTGTTTGTTAGTACCAACCTACTTTTAAGACTTTTAAGACTTTTAAGAAAATATTCTTTTAACTCAAATTTCGATTCTTCCATATTCTGTATTTTGCACACACCATGCAATTTGTAGTGGTCAGATTTGCTGGGGAGCCTAGCAGTGGTCACCATGGCCAAATGAAGATATGTGGTAGATTACAATCAAATTTCCTTTTGTACATTCGTAGACTTCTAAATAAATAAGATCCTCCCTCAGTGTTGAAAAAAATCATTAAAAACAAGAATATATTTTTTAACTGGCCTAATTCAATTTTACCTTCCTCTTTCAATGAAAACACTGATTCTTGGTCTTTGGATCATGCTAGGCCTAGACTCTTGCCTTGACTAAATGACAGTTTATGATTGTTATGCCTTGAATAAATGCTTCTTCCATGGCTGTACCACTGCATGTCTGAATTATGTTGAAATGTGACGAGACTGCATGAAAGATTTGTAAAATGACTGCATTAAAAGTATTGGAAACTGGGGGAAATGTAACAAGCCCCAGACCATTATTTTATATCAAAGATGGAAATATGGCTGAGTAACCAGTCTTGTTGATTTGGATTTCCATTTCCAACACTGGCATTATTTAACAGAATTATTACCTATATCTTATCTACATATCTTCTCTTGTCAATCATAGTAGAGTTTTGCTTGTGATTATTTGGAGAAAAACTTAAAGTAATGTTTGAAAGACTTAACTTAAGATGGCATACAGGAATATTATTGATAAGGTTGGACCAATATATGTCTTTGTTATCAGTTTTAGGCCATAGATGCAGGAAACAAGAATATACAATGTGTTAAAATGACATAACATTTATGTCGTTAGTAAATAGGTATTCTATAAACAAGAATTTATATTGTTTTGCTTCAAATTAGCTGTTAAAATTAATATCAGTGCACAATTTGTAAAATGCTGGAGATTAAATGGGTAAAAAAGAATAAAACAAATATTATTTTTTTTGACATTTCAAGTTTCAGGTTGGCTTGTTTATAAACAAAGAAGAAATTGGTCGAACCTAAGAAGTGGCAGATACTCACAGATCAGTGAATAATGTTTGTTAGGTTCAGTATTTCCTGCTTGATGTATATTGTGCCTTGAAGAATCTGTTAGCACATAGTAACACCGCCCATCTTACACATACAATGCGGGTATTTGTGTTCTTAAAGTTTTGTTCGCTGAACGTCCTGTGTTTCATTCCTAGGAAGGAACATCACATTATCTGTTTGTAAATGTTCATGACGATATACATGTACTTTTCATCATATTTATTATATCTTTCTGATCAGATACTCTACGTAGTTGTTATTATTGCTGTGTTATTGGCCCTCCTACTATTGGTTACCAAACCAGAAACGATTCTACTTCGGCCCCGAAAACCTTTTCGCTTTATATCAACATGGATGATCTTATAACTAGTGGAGCATTCTCAGATAGCAAATTTATTTATTTAGCTTTTTCAAGCCATCATTTTGGGGTAGAAACAAGTGTACGAAACAGATTAATTAACCCAATTTTTAGAGGGCCTTTAAACACAGCAAATGTTGTAGTATTTATCTTGCTAAGAGTTGCAGTAATATGTATATAAGAGTCTTAGTACTGCTTTGTTTCTGTTTGATTGTTATTTTCATCTTGAACAATATTGTACAATTCAGTGAGGGAAAATACATGATTATGAGATAAACTGCTTCTAGCAAGATGTCTACTACTGTTTTCTAGTTTGAACAGACTGACAATAAAGTTGTTAGGATATGACACAAATAAACACTGTTTGTTATTAACAGACTGACCTGGATTGTTATTGATGCTAATCATTACATGTATAATGTAGTTTTAGTGAGAGGCAAGAAGATAATATTCTAAGTGATTTATTTACTCAAATGGTGCATGTGGCAATGTTGGCTTAGAGATTTATTTATGGATATTATGTTCTAATATGAACCTTAATGTACATTTTTATCTTGTAGTTTGCTTTACGTTTAAACATTGGCAGACTCGATGTTCTGCAAGACAAGTTCGCTGCAGTCTTTGTTGAATGTTAATGCAGTTAATTAAAATTGTGTAGCTCACCTGTGTCTGTCTTCTGGTTGTATTGTTGGTTCTGGGGCGTTAGTATCTTTAGCTCACCTAGGTGAAGGTGGCGTAGCTTCTTCTTGTTGGTTTGTTGTTTTACGCCGCACTCAGCAATATTCCAGCTATATGATGGCGGTCTGTAAATAATCAGACCAGATTATCCAGTGATTGATATCATGAGCATTGATCCACGCAATTGGGATCGATGACATGCTCCACCAAGTCAGCGAGCCTGACCACCCGATTCCATTAGTCACCGCATAGTCACCTTAGAAACATTAGAGGTTGGTGGGTGGGTTTGTTGTTTAACGCTGCACTCAGCAATATTCCAGCTATATGACGGCGGTCTGTAAATAATCCAGTCTGGACCAGACAATCCAGTGATTAATATCATGAGCATCGATCCACGCAATTGGGATCGATGACATGCATCAACCAAGTCAGCGAGTCTGACCACCTGATCCCGTTAGTCGCCTTTTACGACAAGCATAGTCACCTTTTACGGCAAGCATGGGTTGCTGAAGACCTTTTCTGCCCCAGATCTTCACTGGTTGCGTAGCTTCTTGAGACAATGAGGTATCCGTGTTCTTAAATGGTTCATCTTATAGAGAACCTCATCCGAGGGTCATGTGATATCAATTACATCAACACAAGTCAATAAAAGTTTAAGACTCTTAGACTTGCTGAGTTTTAAGCTTTTGTTGAAGAGAGTTGATATATTCAATATCAAAAGACTCTCAGGTGATGTTTAATTTATCATCCAGTTTACCAGTGTATTGAGCATTCAAAATACACCTCACAAACTTCAGTGGTGTGATGTCATTTGATTGTGATATCATTGTATGACATCACAATGGTCTCCAGAACATTGTGATGCTATTTAATTTCAGCTATATCTCAAATGGAAGCCAGTTTTTTGGATGATAAATGTCTTCAATTTTTTATCTTAACAAAAGAAAAGCCACACACAACATGAATATATCCTCGATAGTACACACAATTTGATATAGATGCCATGGCACTCATAAATGACAGTGCATGAAATCCCCACAATGTAATAAACAGTGCATGTATTTTGTTTTCTATTTTTTGGAACTGACCATATTAAGATATGACTGACAGTGATTGACATCATGAACATCAATCAACGCAACCGGGATCAATGACATGCATCAGCCAAGTCAGCCAGCCTGACCACCCGATCCGTTAGTCGACTACTACGACAAGCATGGTTGCCTTTTACGGCAAGCTTGGGTTGCTGAAGACCTATTCTAACCCGGATCTTCACAGGTCCAAGGATGTGTACATGTAAACAATACAAGTTTAATCCAATACGCCCCACCTCCCTACGAAGTAAGATCCCTTTAGTATGCAGTAGTACTGTGTGATACCAAGGATGTGTACATGCAAACACTACAATAACTAAACGCAAAGTGTTGACATCACATGTATTTATTTAAACAGAAAAAAACAATACCAGGATCCACAAGACACAATCATCAGCTCTGAAATATTTAAATCATTTTGTAACACTGTTCTAACAAGCTCCAAAAGAAAAACATTTCCTTGCAGTAAAGTCCCATTCAAACCAACCAATCATCATTTGCCTTGACAAATATATACTGCTTGCTCAGCAAACATTCAAACCAAATGATAAATGACAAAACATTTGTCTTGACAAAACTTATAATAGACATTGTTTTATATCATGATTGAAACAACACCAAATTATAAAACATTCTGTATTGTTCTAACAACCAAATGGTAAATTGTGCTGTGACAACAAAATATTGATCTCTTCATTTCAAATATAGATCACTTTATATCATGACTTAAAACAAGCAAAATTAAATCATTGTCACGTTCCAAATCATACATACAAACAATTTTAACAAATGCAAATTCAAGATATCAAAACAAAATTATTTCCTCCAAATGGCAACCTAAAAATTATTTTCAAATTAGGTAAAATGTACAGATTAATTTGATCTTTCAATATCACTTATGTATAAAACAATACCTAAAGTAATACCACATAAACGATTTAAACATGATGCAACAAATGTTTTATCTAACCATGAAAAATGTCAAAAACAAGCATGAACAGATGACATGGTAAAATACTAAAAGACTAGTATTCTTGGGGGAAATGATAAAATTGGCCTAAGGAGTTTTCTTCCCCATCCCTCTCCCCCAACCACACACACCCAAAACAAAAAAACACACAATAAAAAGGAATGTGCAGTGGTACAGATAAAACAACTGTTTGTCTTGAAGCACTAAGAGGAACACAATTTTGTTTTTAACAACCAAAGTAAACGGTAAGCCCTGGGTTGGCTTAGGGCTCTGTGACCTCCATGTCATATCCCTGTGCCTGGTTGTACCAGCGGTAGAGGGCCACCTTCCACTCGATACACATCTGAGCTTGGGTGTCCAGTTCCCGACAGTAGGTGCCGACCAGCCGGGGGATCTCGTCATTGAGGAACTGACTAGATTGGGCATCTGCAGGGGGGCGGTGAACCATGAGCTGGAAATCCACGCCTGAAAGATTAAAAGTTTAGGTCGCATCCTGCAATAATCCGGCGGCCTGTAAAATATTGAGTCTGAATCAAGCAAATCAGAGACTGAAAACGTCACCATCAGCACCGACGTAGTAAGCCAAGTCTTTGTGAAGTAATTACGATTATCATAGCGCTAATGTGGCGACCCCAGCACAAAGGTTTTCGTCAGTTTATATTACAGTATGGGAGTTACGTCCGTCCTAGAGCTAAGGCGGCTTTGTGCAATGGGCAATTCCTTAACTACATAAACTATTACAACTGTCATCGATCGACAACAAATACATTTCAGACTGCATTCGTGAGAGAGTTAGTGAATGTTGTTTAACCCTGAAGTCACCACACTCAGCCCGTAAATAATTGAGTGGACCCAACACACCAGTGAGTCATAACGTGAGCAACGCTCTCCGCCATGAGCAGTATAAAATCGCAATCAGCCAGGTCATAGAGCCTGACCGCCTGATCCGATTACGTCGCCTCTTGCGACCGGCAATATCATTATGTGCTGGAGACCTATTCTTACCCGGAATCCCCACGGGGCATCTAAACTAAAAATCAAGAAAATGTGCGTGTCAAATACACTGGGCGACTCCTTGAGACCATTACAGATCTTGTGTTCCGTCCATTTGAAGTCGACCCGTGAAGATCCGGGGTAGAATAGGTCTTCAGCAACCGATGCTTACCGTAACAGGCGACTATGCTTGTCCTAAGAGGCGACTAACGGGATCGGGTGGTCAAGGCTCACTGACTTGGTTGATGCATATCATCGATCCCAATTGGATGGATCGATGCTCATGATGTCAATCACTGGTTTGTCTGGTCCATACTCGATTATATACAGACTGCATTCATATAGCTGGAATATTGATGAGTGCGGCGTAAAACAACAAACCAACCAAACATTTGAAGTCCAAGGTGCTGGTTGATAGCGCAAAACAAAAGCCTCTCGCATACCTACTGCATATATACTAACATACCAGTGTGATCTTATTAGTATGAAGGTCCAAGGTTCAAAAATATCTTTTATATATGGTTGCCATGGAAGCATCATTTGGGTCATCCATGCACAGGTTCAGCTGTGCTTTCTTCAGAAGAGTGAGTGAGTGCATTAGTTTGGCTTTACGCCGCTTTTAGCAATATTCCGGCGGAGGACACCATAAAATGGGCTTCACACAATGTCATTGTACCCATATGGGGAATCGAACACCGGCCTTCGCCGTGACGAGCGAACGCTTTAACCACTAGGCTACCCCACCGCCCCGACAAAAATGAAGTTAAAAGCAAATCGAATATTTGAGGGCATGGTCAAGACAAGATGTTGTAAAATAAGATGCATTGTTAATAACAGAACGTGCACGTACACAAATAGAGATGTTCTTCACCCTGTATTCAGCAATATTCCAGCTCTGGTTCCGGCAATCCAGCGACTGAAAGCATGAACACACGATCCACACCACCAAGGCCACCCCTCCTACCACACGATTATAATACTGAGGACCTATCCTGAGGCTGAAATCCCAACAAGATCACAAACAGAGAACAATGGCCGCACTCATATTAGCCTGTTTTCTAATTTGATTTCCATATAAACCAAACTAAACTTTATACTAAAACGATATAAACATAGGTGAGAAAGCATAATTCCTTCATCCAAGTTTCAGCTTCATTGTTCTTCGTTTCGCAGCGCCCATTTCATGAGAACCAAAAAGACGAAAAATGAACACCAATATTCATATTTGGTGCCTGACCAGCGCAAAACTCACAATCGTAAAAGCTCAAACCTTTCTGCAGTTTAAAGTTTCACTTTTGCAAAAGAAGAGGTATTTGTGTGTTTGATTTGTTGTATGACAGCACACTCAGTAATATTCTAGGTATGCCTGTAAATAAGTCTGGACCAAACAACCCAGTGATTGATATTTGAGCGACGATGGGGTACGATGAAACGCAATCAACCAAGTCAGAGAGATTGACCACCCGATCCATTGAGTGGGGTTTTGAGAGCACCATAAGTTGCTGGGGACCAATTCTAAACCCGGAATACCCAAAGCGAATAACTTCAACGCCAAAAGGACATTCAGAATACCGTATTCGACGTAATAAGCGCCCTGGGCGCTCTCAAAATTAGAAATAGGGGTCTCTTTTTAGAATATTATTTTGTCGAAAAAAAAACAGAGTTGAAAGATAAATTTCGTGGTTTATGCTGACAACCTGAAATGTTTATATACGAGAGATATATTTTTCCAGAAGTTAATTACCCATAATTAAGGGTGCATATAACACACGAGTGCGTATTATACGCGAATAAATAAGTATTGTGTACATTGATCAACCGGAAAGGGTGCTAATTGGGATTGTTCACGAGCCAATATATTAGCAAATATCGCCGTGGGCGCTTATTAGAGCGGGGCGCTTATTACGTCGAATACAATACTTCTGATATAGGTTATGGAAAGTGTGTTTATCGTACCGCAAATTAAGACGCTTTGGTTGATGTGGTCCAAGATTATCGTCTTGGGGTACATCGGGCGGTAGCGCGGCTCTCTGTTCCTCTTGACGCTGTGATTCTCCTCCAGAGCTACTCGGATGCCTTCGCCAAGAGGATGCTGCATGAATTTGATTCTGAGGAACCGTAGATTTCGGAGCAGATATGGCCCTTCTCGAATCCCCTCGAGAGACCTATCACTGTTCGAGCATCCATGTAGCTTCATAAACAGCCGATAGTTCTTGTTGAGCATAGGTGTTAAAAAACGCGGGAAATTCTGAGGACAGTCTTCATGATATTCATCCCCCTCCTTGCACAGTTCACGTGGCATGATAATCGGGTACACTTTTGGCTCCACATACGGCAATGATTCACAAGGACTCTTCCAGTGCTGAATGAATTTTGTAGATGGAGATATCCTCGGCTCACGCAGACTCTTGCACTGTCGATGGAAGTATACACCCTCACGTCTAATAACGTTTGTCCTTGTGGCATGGTTGTTGCCATCCCAGCCTGGTTGCCCAAGCTCCAAGTCCACAGCAATTCCCATATCAGCATTCGCACGTGGTATATAAGGACGATTTCTTATACTGCTGTGTCCGTGCCCCATAACTTCAGAGCGTCCGGGAACCCAAGGTCAGTGTCGACTTCCTTTATCTCTAAGCGCCGTGGCTACAGGTCTCACGACGCAAGCATTATGACGTCATAGACGGGATTAGCCCACGTCACGTCGATCCTCGTGAATGGGAGAGTCCATTGCTGTACACAAACCTGCGATAGGGTTGTCGACAAACGTCTACAGTCATGGTGTACACCTCAGTAATTTAGTTGTAAACAAAGTGTATTTTATAAAACACATATATTAAGATCTAATCAAATGTTGCAATTTAATTTTACTTTTTACGTTTACGAATGTTTCAATAGTTATATTATTCCTCAATGAAGAGCACCAAGTGAATTTTGACTCATAATTTTATATCCATTGAAGACAATACAAATGTTAAGATTGATAATATCTCAAGTTTGAGGCAATTCCATTCTAAGGTAAACGTACCTTATTTCATTCTGTTAGCGCCGCCTGAATATAATTCAGTGATGGATAACGATGATGACCCATAGCATAGTTATATATTTTACCGACTGGTGACACGTGAAGATCCGGGTAGAAAATGGGTCTTCAGCAACCCACGCTTGTCGAAAGAGGACTTGGGTGGTCAGGCTCGTTAACATGGTTGATGCATGTTATCGTATCCCATTTCCGCAAATCGATGCTCATGATGTCAATCACTGGATTATCTGGTCCATTGTACATTAATTACAGATCGCGTATAACAAACAAACCCACTGGTAGTTGTACATTTTTCTTCAAATTCTCGAATTACATTAGTAGTGTTACATCAGTAAATCTGAATATGTGTTCCCGTGTGAGCGCTCATCTCTTTCTCAGCTACTTTAAAGAAATTGTTCTGCTTGTTTTTAAATTTGGTGTGATGCTTTTATTAACGGACATTATTGAAGGTTAAAGTAACTGAAAGGCAAGTTCACACGAAAATAAACCTATTTTTCTTGTACTTTTTCATCAGGAAAAGTATTATAATTACTTAGTGGTTTTAGAGGCAAAACAATAAAAATATCACAAATATCTAATATATTTTATTCATTAAATCGGTTCATATTTCCACAATAATCACGCCATGGCTTATGCCCCTTGCAATATGACGTCATTGTGCCAATTGATAAAGGAGTGACGTCATAAAACTTTATTAGCCCCGTTTCACATGGTTTGTGATTCTATCTTCTCAGATACGCAGCCTATTGTTTTGTTCGGTGCCGTGTTGTTCAAAATACAACGCTAAGCACAATTACTCTAAAATAAATTCGTTTTCCAAAATCGTGACTGAGAAGACAACAATGCACGGATAACGAACTGTAAGATTCGCGATGATGGTTGGAAGCGTCTGTTGTCTGAATTGCGCTTATTCCTTCATTTTTGTCGCGCATATTGACTCTTGACTGATCTCTGTTATAATATTCCTAATGCAGGCCTCTTTAAAAATCAGACTCACTTTCGGTCCCACAACAAGTAAAACGTTCATTTCGCCTGGATGTCAAAACAATGACGCAATGAAGTCCAAAGCAGATATTCCACTGTACTACACTGTACACATTGAATGTCAAAAGCCCCTTGCATGAATGCGTGATGCGGATGCGACGGGGTAATTCTCTCAAATGTTGGAGGAATTTCAAAGCTTTGTACACATGGGTTGTGGTGTTCGCAGCATCCCAGTTAATGGTTCGGCGCTGGCCTTTACCCTAGACGGGCTAGCGACGACACCAAATGCATGGTGACAAATGATGATTAATGATCAATATTTGTTTGTTTGTTGTTTAACGCCGCACTCAGCAGTATTCTAGCTATAGGAGACTTGCCGCCAGTCTATGTAACCCAACTGTCCCTTGGGGTCACGCTGACTGGCACTTTCTTGTGGCTCCCGGCACACGGCAGATAGGAGCCTTCCCCTACCCCTCTCCAACAGCCCCTTTTGACTAGGACTTCTTGAGTGTACCAAGTTGTAGAGAATATCCCCCTAAAATATAAAGGCTGTACCGAATGATAAGCCCATGGATGTATAACAATTCTATCCTTATTAGAGAGCAACTCATCATATGAAGCGGCTCGTCACAATTGGAGCGGAAACATTACAGACCCATGTGAATGGCGAGTTAAAGATGCCCCAGGTTTAACCATAATAAAGAAAATGATTCTGTCTTGATAAAGTGGCGTATCCCAACTGGAGCTGAAACATTCGAGACTAACTCCTGAAGTGGCGCATCACAATCGGAGCAGAAACACTGGTGACCAACTCATAATATGAAGTGATGCGTCACAACTGGAGCTGAAGCATTAAAAGACTAAATCATCGTTATAGGTGATGGCACATTTCAAAATAGTCTTGATTTTGTTTTCTCAATGATCCTTTGGAAGTGATATGCAGATCGTTATAAGCCTCTACAAAATGTAATTACCGGAATGTGTATGTACAACAGAGGTCCATAACACAACATCTTTGCACTGACTATTGTGCTTACTTAATGGTCAAATGGAGACATATGCTATATGTGTTATAGAGATCAGACTTCCAGACGCCCTCAGCTGACACCACAACTGCCTTACTCCACTACTCGGAACATTCGGACCAGCAAAATACACCCCTATATCTACTGACCACATTTTTCACAGAGAAAGTCCAGCATAGCATGGCTTTCTCAGAACGGAGCCCACATGACCACGGACAGTTGCAATGTGTAACCCATGTCCAGGCAACTTGGTCGTCTAGGTATAACGTACAATTTGTAGAAGGACATGCTTACATTCAGTCAAAGTCACCGTGACTATAGAAACTATTTGGAGTTAATGTAGCGCCGAGTTTAAACCATAATATTGAAAAAAAGTATTCTGTCTGGAAAAATAATCTGCTTCGTCTAAGTGATGAGTCTCAACTGGACATAAATTATAAAGAAAACAGTTCATATTAGTAGCAAGTGGCGCGTCACAACTGGAGCTGAAACACATGAGACCAACCCATAAAATGAAGTGGTGCTCACAACTGGAGCTGAAACGTGTGAGACCAACTAATATGAAGTGGTGCATCACAACTGCAGCTGAAACAAAAGAGACCAACTAATATGAAGTGCTGCGTCACAACTGGACCTGAAACATTAGAGACCAACTCATTATATGAAGTAGTGCATCACAACTGGAGCTGATACATATGAGACTAACGAATATGAAGTGCTGCGTCCCAACTGGACCTGAAACTTCAGAGACCAACTCATTACACCAGGAAGTGGCGCTTCCCAAATAGTTCTGAAACAGACTGGAGCTGAAATATTAGAGACCAACCCATTATATGAAGTGGTGGTCACAACTGTAGCTGAAACATATGAGACAAACTAATATGAAGTGGTCTTCCCAACTGGACCTGAAACATCACAGACCAACTCATTACACCAGGAAGTGGCGCTTCTCAAATAGTTCTGAAACATTGAAAGACCAACTCATTAAAAAAAGGATTTTGACCGTCTGAACTGGATCTCAAACATTAAAAGACTAAATCATCGTTACTGGAGGTGGTACATTTCAGTATAGGACCATAGTCTTGATTTTGTTTTCGAAATGATCCTTTCGTAGTGATACACAAATCATTATAAAACTCTACAAACCTTACTTGCCGGAACAGGTATGCACCACAGGGGTCCATAACTCCAAATCTTTGCACTGACTATTGTGCTAACTTAATGGTCGAACGGTTGGTCTTCATTTTAACCTGAAGCTTAGAGCTTTTTAATATCTATCAGTTTATGTGCTCTAGAGATCAGACTTCCAGACGACCTCAGCTGACACTGCAACTGCCTTTCTACGGTAACTGGGGTATCATTGGGTGTGGACAGCACCCGCAACTCATTCTTACACTTCACCATGAATGCGGAAGGTTATACTTTCCCTACTACTCGGAACATTCGGACAGGCAAAATACACCCCTATATCTACTGACCAAATTCTTCACAGGGAAAGTCCAGCATAGCATGGCTTTCTCAGAATGGAGCCCACATGACCACGGACAGTTGCAATGTGTAACCCATGTCCAGGCACCTTGGTCGTCTAGGTATAACGTACAATTTGTAGAAGGACAGGCTTACATTCAGTCAAAGTCACCGTGACTATAGAAACTATTTGGAGTTAAAGTAGCGGCGAGTTGAAACCATAATATTGAAAATATTATTCTGTCTGGAAAAATAATCTGCTTCGTCTAAGTGATGAGTCTCAACTGGACATAAATTATAAGGAAAACAGTTCATATTAGTAGTGGCGCGTCACAACTGGAGCTGAAACACATGAGACCAACCCATAAAATGAAATGGTGCTCACAACTGGAGCTGAAACATATGAGACCAACTAATATGAAGTGGTGCGTCACAACTGCACCTGAAACATATGAGACCAACTAATATGAAGTGGTGCATCTCAACTGCAGCTGAAACAAAAGAGACCAACTAATATGAAGTGCTGCGTCACAACTGGACCTGAAACATTAGATACCAACTCATTATGTGAAGTGGTGCATCACATCTGGACCTGAAACATTAGAGACCAACTCATTATATGAAGTACTGCATCACAACTGGAGCTGAAACATTAGAGGTGGGTGGGTGGGTGGGTTTGTTGTTTAACGCCACACTCAGCAATATTCCAGCTATATGACGGCGGTCTGTAAATAATCGAGTCTGGACCAGACAATCCAGTGATTAATATCATGAGCATCGATCCACGCAATTGGGATCGATGACATGCATCAACCAAGTCAGCGAGCCTGACCACCCGATCCCGTTAGTCGCCTTTTACGACAAGCATAGTCACCTTTTACGGCAAGCTTGGGTTGCTGAAGACCTATTTTACCCCGGAATCTTCACGGGTCTGAAACATTAGAGACCAAGTGGCGGTCACAACTGGAGCTAAAACATATGAGACCAACTAATATGAAGTGGTGCATCACAACTGCACCTGAAACACATGAGACCAACTAATATGAAGTGGTGCATCACAACTGCACCTGAAACATATGAGACCAACTTATATGAAGTGGTGCGTCACAACTGCACCTGAAACATATGAGAC